CTTACCTCCCACCATGTGCTTGCAGAGAGCAGCTGGCCTGAGGCACCAGGCCAAGCTGTGCTCTGCTCCAGAGCGAGGAGGGGGACTTGGTGCTGGGCCACAAGGCAGGGACAGAGGAGAGGGTCCCTTTGGTGCCCCAGCCCATAGCTGGAGTCCTGCAGGAYATCCCCTTGCTTGAGCTGTGCTGTGGTAGGGTGCATGTACAGTAGTGTTGAGGGGTGAAATAACAGATGTGTGACAGCGCTCCAGCAAATTGGTACAGACACCTTCATCTACCTCCATCCCCATCATCTACCTACCTGTTAGAGAGGCCCCAGCTGCCCCTTCCCCAATGCACACACACTCCTAACCTTTTCAGGAACCCACACCAGAGCCAGGAGACCTTTTTCCAYAGGTCAGGCAGCGAAAGATGGGAATTCACCTAAACTGTTCTAGCAAACAGCAGCCAGGAGCTTTGGGAAGAGAGAAGCAACCAGGCAGGGTTGAAGCAGAGCCCTGCTGCAAGCAGCACTCAAACTAACACTTCRGCAGCCCGTTCCCCATCCAAACGTCAGAGACACGAGCAAGCCCGGCCTGAACAGCCCTTAGGCCGGCGAACCCCAGCAGGGCCCTGCTGCTCACACGGCAAGCAGGCCCGGCAGGGCCTGGCGCCGAGCCCCRCGCGATAGCGGCCGCGAGGCAGGGCCTTGGCGAGCGCCCAGGGCAGCGCTCGCATGGAAGGAATGTGGGACTTCTGGCCAAGTCCTCACAGAGGGATCATCCAAAGCGGAAAGAACTCGTCCGATGGCGGCACGGCCGCTGCGAGGCGGGGGAAGAGGAGGATGGGCTGGAGCAGGAGGCCATGGAGGGCTCTGCTGCCCATGTGGGGAGGATGGAGATGGTTGCTGGGTGGCTGAGAGCCGTCAAGCTGTTCCACATCGGCTTCTTCCTTCTCTCCCAAGCAGGGCTTGTAAAATGTCACCATCAGAGTCTACTCACCCCTGCCACAAGCACAAGGGGCCAGGGAGCACCCCAAGCCCACAGCACCCAAGCCCCCAGGTGGGAACATACCCCATTTCTCACCATGAGCCAGGGAAAGAGGCAGGAGGCTGCACAGCGAATTAGGGCCAAGGGCTGAGCTGCTGGCAGCTGTCCCGGGCTCCTTGCCCTGGACTGTTTTCCTTTAGACAGAAACAAAGGCACAGCTGGAGATCTGGCCCAGCAAACACGGCAGTCGAGACTGCACAAGACGGACCAGGCCCGGGGATAAGACAGCTCTGGGGACAACTGGAGGAGCAGCCCCCCTTGTCCCGCCGCACAAGAGGGCATTACAAGGACTGCAGCCCTTSGCAGCTCTCACGCAGCCCAGCTCCAGCACGGGGCTTTGCAAAGGCTCAGCTGCCTGTGGAAACCCAAAACGGAAGRGGACATGAACCCACCCGCAGCTACAACATGGGGGGCTTCGCTCAGCGCCCCAGGTTGCCTCTGCCCTAGATAGCAGCGGAAACAGCAAAAGCTTCAGGCAGCTTGAGCACCAGGTTCAGCTTATACACAAGAGCCCTGGCCCCTAGATATGTGCCTTTGGCAGCATCTCCGCCTCAGCTATTCAGTAATCCTTAGGAAATACCATGTTCCGATATCCCTGCTGCTGAATCAGCTTCCCGAGGCGAGATGTTCTGGTCCAAGGGCTGGAGGAGAGGCACAGCCAATGCTCAGGAACATCAGCCAGAGAGCTGCGGAGCTCCTGCCTCCCTGCAGCTTTCGATCACTCCTGAATCATGGAGCTTCTGCTGGGTGTSTTCTCAGCTGAGAGGCGAGCACAACTTCAGGGGCAAGAACTGCCCCCCTTCTCTCCACCGCTGGGGCAGGGAGGAGCAGGAGCTGAGACCCATTCTCTACCTTACCGCTATGTGCTGGAGGGCCAAATAGGAGAAGCCAAGGCAGGTCTGGCTGTGGTACAAACACTCCAGGACACATCAGCCTGCACCTYCAGCTGCCCATATTGCTCCCTCCAAAGAAGCTGCATTGAGAAGGACAAATGAGCTCACTTACCTCTAAGCTGTCAACATAGCTCAAGGCTTTCAAACAGCTACTGATTCTTCACAGCATTGCGAGATGGGAAGAGCAGCTACCAGAGGACAAGAGGACATTTGTGCTGCTGGCTGGGAAGGGAGCACAACCCTGCGCTACAGCAGCCAGAAGAGGCTGAGAACTGCTGCCACAGCAGGGACAGCAAAGGCAGGAGTTAATCCCCTCATTGCTGCTGTGTTCTCTGGGCCATTGGGAAGGACCTTAGCGCACTCGCTGCTGACAAGCGAAGGAGCTCAGCACCTGCAATGACACGGTGCTACAAGCACGCTGTGAAATCCTGCCGCCCCAGCACAACAGGTCAGCTCAGCTCTGAGATTTCTTGRAGCAGCCAAGGGTGTGGAGCTGAGATCCTGACAGAAAGCACAGATATAACTTTGCATCCACCCTTTCCCAGCCTGGGAGAAGCCCGGCCGCATTGCTTTCTCCACAGGCTGAGGATTGGATTGATCTCCAACCTTTCCCAGCTTGCAGGTAACCCCTAAGTGACCTAGTGACCAAGGATGGACAGAGCAGCTCCTAAAGGTGTGGGCTGCAGGGCGCAGGGAGAATCCCCAGGCAGCAGAGGGGAGCTGGCTGCAGGAAAACCAGAGCTTGGCAAAGCCAGCAAGGCTCGGCCCTAACGCCTGCAGCTCTGGCCTTGCAAACTAGACAAGTGAGGTAACGCTCCCCTTGGAGCGAGAATGCGAGACGCAACGGGGCTTTCCTTGAGCTGCACTCACTGCTGCCGCCCGTCCTGTCACGAGCCGCCTGGCTGACCAGGAAGACAGTCCCTGCCCCGGGCCAAGTGGAGACGGGATACAAGAATATTCCTGGATTTCCCAAGCCAAAGTTTTCCAAGAAGGGCTGAGCTATACTGGACAACAAGCAGTGAGTCAGAGGCAGTACAAAACATGACATGCCAGTCACAGGGGAGAACGGAAGCTTTAGCAAAGCACCCCGAGYCCTTATTGCTCCAGCCCTTTTGTTCCCTGCTGACTTCACTTCCCGYGTCTAGCCTGGGAGCAGGGAAAGCCCGATGACAGCCCATAAGGACGAATCATCCTCCTCTGAGTGCTTGCCTGCGCACAGCGCGTGCCAAAGGCCCCCGTGCCAGAGCTCCGCACGCAGAGCCGCCGGGGAGCACGGAGGGAGCGGGCCCGGCTGCAGGGCCAGGGCGGCCGCGCGAGGCCGCGGCGCCTGCCCCGCTCTGCAGCAGCGCCCGGGTCCCCCGCACAGAGCGGGTTATACACCGATACGGAGGGAGCTACTGCTTTTTGTAAAAAATAAAATAATAATTTAAAAAAAAAGACCATTTGCATTAACTCTTTGGCTGCAAATGCATTTCTCCAGTAACGAACTAGGAAAGCACAGAGTTCATAAAACAATTTCTGCACAAGTCCAGATTGCTCTGCTTTCCTGCCTACTGCAGGCAGACATTCGTGCAGCACTGATACCACCAAAACTGGAGCTTGCAGAACACCATATGGACTTGTATTTGTCCAAGTATGAACCTAAATTTACATGTCACCTTCTTTTAAGTGCTTGCGTGCAACAACCCAGGAAAAAAGTTACCATGAAAGCTTCATGCTTTTTCTCATTTAAACAGATTACAAAGGATAGCCTGGTGCTTGCTTAGCTTCCTTCTCACCAGCTTTAGTCACAATTCCCCTTTACAGATGGCTCTTTTACCAGACTTGTTAAACTTTGTAAAACTCATAAACAAGACCACGAGTATTTGACATATCAGAAGCACACTGACGCTTCCTGTAGGCTGGAGAAGAGATCTGAGTCTGGCAGCAGAGAACTGTGGGGCAAGGCAACCAAATTTATTCTTGTTGCCTAGAGCAACAAACAGGGAAATACAATTATTGCTACCAATTTACAGTAAATGTAGTCTATTTAACCTCAGGCTTGTAAAGTACCATTTCAAAGCCATCCAGGAGGAATCTCTAAAGATTATATTTTCCATSTCAACATCTTGTCTAGCTTTCTGGGTAAAGCTAGAAGAATTTGCTGTTAACTTTAAACATTTTGTTTCTTCTTTTTTTCCCCCCTTTTTGAAAACTGTTAATACTCCCTTCCTCCCCCCATKGCCCAGAAAGCAGGTGGGGGACCATACACAACCTTTAAACACCAGCTAAAATCCCTCAGTGTTCCCTGCTTCCCTTCTTGGCTGCCGTTTTAGTTGCAAGCACAGAGCCCAGGAGGGCACACAGCTCCAGGAGAGGCACTCCCTCCTTCAGCTTCCATACGGCGCTCACCAGGAACACAACTGTGTCGAGTCACAGGTCTCAGCTGCACGGGTAGACCACACGGTTCCTTCCAGCCCTCCCCCTCTCCCTTGCACTGTGCATTGCAACAATATGTAGTGATCACAATCACTTTTGGCAAACACTGTAAGCAACATAAACACACATTTTTCAACATGCTGCAAAGACAAGGCATTTATGGTTATTGTCACGGATAATTTTTAAACTATATCTGAATGAAGAGCTGGGCCTGTTTTCTCTGGAGAAGAGACGGCTCAGAGGGGATATGATTAATATGTATAAGTTCAGGAAGGGAGAATGCAGGGAGGAAGGGGACARGCTGTTYTCACTGGTGGCCAGCGATAGGACGAGGGGTAATGGCCACAAGCTGAAACACAAGAAGTTCCGTCTCCAGGTGAGGAGCAACTTCTTTACTGTGMGGGTGACAGAGCAGTGGAACAGGCTGCCCAGGGAGGTTGTGGAGTCTCCTACTCTGGAGGTCTTCAAAACCCGCCTGGATGCCACCCTGTGCCACATGCTCTAGGTGTGCCTGCTTGAGCAGGAAGGTTGGACTAGATGATCTGTAGAGGTCCCTTCCAACCTTAAATATTCTGTGAATCTGTGAATCTGTGAAGCAGGAACCGCCTAAATACAGGGACTGCATCCAAAAAAATGTTTCTAATCCCCTCCTTGGCTGGTATTCTATAGTTTTTTAATAATTTTTATCAGAACAACAGGCTGAGCAGGAATCTCCTTAGAGTGTAAGAACTGCCTAGTTTTACACATCATATACAGAGTGATCACAACAGTTACTATCTGGATCGCTAAAATCAAACTGTGAAGACACAGAAAGAACTGACAATAGGGAACCATAGTATTAAAACGTTGCTCAGCTCTCATGCGGGCTGGCAACTCCTCCCACCGGGCAGCAGTAGTTAAACCTATTCCATCAGTTAAATCTGTTCCTCTTACACTGTTGGTTTCTACTTCGATGCTGGCAGAAGTTTGGGCTGGGATACCCGAGGACTGGGACTGTTCGACTATGGTATTGAGATACTGCTCAGCACTCATGTGGTCTGGCAAATACTCCCMCCAGGTGGACACAATTAAATCTGTTTCGGGAGTTAAATCTGTTCCTCTTACACTGCTGGTTTCTTCAAAGATTCTGGGCGAAGTTGGGGCTGGAACATCTGAAGACTGAGATTGTCCAACATGGGAGTAAGTAAAACCTAACGTTGCAAGAGGCATCGAGGTGGGTGCATTAGCACCCGTGCTGGTCGCTGCTGTTACAGTGGTCGCCAAAGTTGATTTTGGCTGTTCTGGCACCAGGGAAGCTGAGGTTTGGGAATGAGCTGAGCTCCCGAGTGCCCGGTATAGAGTGGCTGTGGTTGGCAGGCAGTTCATGTGATGTCCTCTTAGATCCAARAGAGAAATATTCTTCAATGCTGGTGGGCTGTCACACATCAGAGATTCTGCTTTTCTTACTATATCAGTGCTCTTCCAAAGCCATTGCTGGAAGTCGAGAATTTGGCAATCGCATTTCCAAGGGTTGTTGTCGAGGGAGACTTCTTGCAGGTCAGGTAAAGCTGTAAAAATATCTCCAGGAAGATACTGCAGCTTCGTACTGTTGAGGTAAACTTTTTGAAGGTGCTTGAGATTATGAAAGAGGTTACTAGGAAGAAATTCAAGACTCGATTCAAAAATGGAGATATTCTGCAGCTTCTGAAGGTCCAGGAAGATGCCCTCTGGCAGAGTGGAAATGTTAGTTGTATGCAGGGATAGCCCCTGCAGTTCGGTCAGGCCACTGAATACATTCTTAGGAAGAACACTAAGTTCTAGGTTGAAACTCAGCACGAGAAGCTCTAAATTTGTCAAGTTACTGAACACAAAATCCGGCAGAGTTGAGAGCTGCGTGTGATAGAGCCACAGGCTACCAAGATTCCTCATTTCTCCAAACAACACTTCTGGAAGCGACTTTAGGGGATTCCTGTACAAGGTCAATTTGGTCAGGTTGGGTAAGTGCAGGAAAAGCCCAGAAGGCAAAAGCTCCAGCTTGTTTCTGGAGAGCGTTAGAACTCGCAGTTTACCAAGACAGTGAAACGCACCGGGGGCAATGGACTGGATGTTGTTTGAATGCAGGAAGAGCTCCAGCAGCTCCGTCAAGCTATCGAACAAACCAGGCTCTATCGAGGAGAGCCGGTTAAAATACAGCATCAGCTTCTGCAGCCTGGCCAAGGCACCGAACACGGTGCTGGGCAGCGCTGCCAAGTTGTTCCTCGACAAGTTCAGCACTTCCAGCCTCGCAAGCTTCTTTAGTGCCGCTCCAGGAAGCGCCGTTAGCTGGTTTTTGTTCAAAAAAAGCTCCTGCAAATTGACGAGTTTGTCAAATAGATTCTCTTCTATACGTTTCAACCTGTTATTTTCAATGATCAGTTGCTGAAGGGATTCCACCTCATCGAACACTTGTGCAGGGAGCTCAACCAGCTTGTTATCCAGCAGTTTGAGGGCTTTTAGCCTATGCAAGCCTTTAAAAGCCATCGGGGAAATCACAGATATATTATTGGAGGCTAAGACGAGAATCTGTAGCTGCAACATCCTGGAAAAAGTCTCTTGCAAGGATGTTACACGCGTGTTCGTTATGTGAATTTTTGTCATGTTGCATGGCAGATTTAATGATTCCAGGTCTTTTATATGAGGACCAGAGCAATGAATCCCATCCTTCAGAGAGCAGTCGCATTTCTCAGGACAAACAGATGCATCCAGCTGGAGGAAGAGCTTGACCGTCACTGACAAAAGAAACAGCAACATCCTTGTGGACATATCAGAAATATTAGCTGTTACAAGAGATAAAGAGAGTCAGGGTTTGCTTACAGGTATTCAATAACTTAGAAGCTGCAGATAAAACTGTGCATCAATTTTTAATTGAAGCTGCAAATATGCAAAAACTATCTTTCTTGAAAGCAAATTTCAAAATCTTACCACTGAATGCAAGCACTTCTCTGATATTCAGCTTACACTGTGAAGTGCAGACAAAACTCTATTATTCTAGTASTATGGGCTATGTATTTGCATGAAAACAAAAACATATACGAAAGTCACAAGACCACTACTAAATAGTCATAAAGCATATAGTTATTTGAAAATAAAAACATAGCAAATATTTGAAAAAAACATTATGTCACAGTAATTTTTATTTTGCCTTATTTAAAGCCTAGAAGCTTAAAACGTACAGAGCTTCAAAGCTTTGTTCTTACTCTTTTAGAAGCTACAACACGGATTAAAAAAAGTTTAACCGGTAAGGGATAAAAGTAGTAATGTGCAGAAATTGATAATGAGGTAGAAGAATGTGTCCTACAGCTCCTGCAATGTTTTAAGYGGCCACATACAAACGAGCAGCCCTGCTGGGCCACTGCTCAGCATTTGCGAGCGATCCCTTCTTGGAACAGCTCAGGAACTCGCAAGAAGGAACAGTCCATTTTTGATGTGGCCCGAAATAGCAGACAAGAGCTATTTTGGCAAAGGACAGTAGTGAGCCCCTGATAACAAATAATGCCTCATTTCAGCAGCTTAACCAAATACTAAATTGTCAGAGAACTGCAAGTAGCAAAAGTCCTTAGATCTGCAAGAAGTATACYGCTCAATCCATAAGTTGCCTATATTCCAATATAAAAATAAAACGAACAGGAAAGCAACCATTAAACTATTGCAGCTGTAAGGCCAACGCTTAAGACTACGTCAAACAAATCTTTCCACAGTTTAGGAATTCATTCTTAGTGAAATCATAAAGTACATTGGAAACCAGGCTCCTGAAAGCTAAGGAACTGGCTGAGGAGTTGCAGAAGCAGCAGCCTGGACTAGGGTACACTCGAATAGCTCAAACTGCCTGTTTCAGCCTTCAGTCCAGAGAACACCGTCAGAAATGTAAGACTTCATCCCAATAGCCTCTATCCAGAAGCAAGGATGAAATTCTCCTAAACCAACATGAGAAACAGGTTCAACACTAAGCATTTAGCAAAAGGACTGAGCCAGGCTCAGGTAGGGCAGCAGACAAGAGCACACCATCCCAGACAGGCAGCTGCGTGCCAATGACAGCGGAAGCCAGAATGACATTAAGCAAATAAAACCAGAAAACCTCCTCCTCTCGCCCTCCCCCAGCAAATAAATAAATAAATAAATAAATTTCAAGGTTAGGCTCAGAGAAATGAAAACCACTAAAATCTGCATCCCCTCCTAGGCAATTAAAGGGCTAGCACTAACCCCTGGCAACACAGATGCTCCTGAGCAAGCTCTTGCTGGGCTGCTGAATTCCAAAACTGGGCTTCGAATTACTTAAATGAGACAAYAAGTCAACAACAACCAACCACCACCACCACCACCTTGAAACTCGCATTCCCCAAGGGCTTTTCAATATTATACAATTATCCACCAGAGAATCTAGAAATTTACAGGCAACAAAAGTATGACAAACCAAGCAAATATGAGCTATTCCTRTGTAGCTCAGGAGTTCCCAACCTTGGCTGGTTCAGGCATCCCAGTAGCAGCAGCAAGTCCAGTATCAGATCTGGTTGGCCCACAAGCAGGCAGTGACAAGCATTTATCTCCCCTTCCACCCCTCTTCTTTCATACTGTGCAAACTGACACCTTAGAAGCTTATCTGCTTTTTAGAGGAACTTAATGGGAACACAGTGGGCAATCAGGCTCCACCACGATTCTGCACTTTAAATGGGAAGAAAAACAGCAAAACGCATCCTCTAGATAACACTTCACTCATTTGCATAACTATTTTCAAAGGCCAAAGAATGTGTTAAGATTTTGCCTACTTTTTAGTTGCATGAGCAACTGTTTTCTATAGGTTCCATGTTTCCACTATGCAGTGTTATCAACAGTGCTATCAAATTTGAGACCACTCACAAAACAGGAGCAGAACAAGCACAAAAGACACTTGTAGCCAGCACTGTGACAGGGCACTGGAGTAGCTGCACCAGCCAGTCCCATGTAAATCCGGTTGCTTAGAGYCAGAGACTTGGGTCTTTCAGCACAAATTCGGATTAGAAAGAGGTTTCAAATTTCTTGTTAGACATTCAGTTACTTATACAGCTGTCTCATGCACAGATGCATTAGGTTTTGTAGGAATGGACACATCTGTTTTACACACCCAAGTGGTATTTACCTTCTCAAGGCTTGATGAACTTCAAAGCAACTTGATGAAGCAGTGACCTGTTTTCTACTTAATGCTTTGGCTACGGAATCCACCCTTGACATTTGGCTTCCTGCTTTTCCTCCTAAGTCTTCTATAGCCAGAGACGAAGAAAACTTAAAGTCCAGAAGATCCTGAGGAGAGAAAAGCTTTACCGGAGCATTAGCTCTGAAACGCCAGACTCCACGTTGTTATAGTAGTGAAGTTGTCTACCAGGCATTTCAAACACCTTGTCTTCAAGATCAAAACAAGGTACTCTATCAAAAACAAAACAAAAAAAGAAATTAAGAGGCTGAGCTGCAAGAGGGAAAGGCTGCCTTTATTTGTGTGTGAGTTTTCTAAAAATGACTGTGACAACACTCATAACCAGGAGCATTCCCACAGGAGAGTCATTTCAAGACTGCTTCCCATGCATCAGAAAAATAGTAACAAAAAGATAACAAAAACTGGAAAAAAAATCTATATTYAAGATAAAAGATGTTGATTTAAAACGGTTTTCCGTAACTATCAGGTGAAAGTAAGGTCACCATTACTGTATTCCWGAAGTGCCCCATCTGCTTTGCAAACACATTCTGCAGGCCTCCTTCTCCACCTTAAAACCAGGAACTGAACAAGAACCCCGTGATATCAGCCAGAGGAAGTTCATATTCCTCAACAACCTTTGGATCAGATCTTACTGTATGAAGGGTGATTAAAAATAATTGCATGAAACTAATTAAAAGAATTAAAATAGAATCTGTTCATTTCAGTTTTATTTCAAAGAGCTTCAGTCACAAAAATGATTTACAAGACTATTTACAATTCTATTGTACAGTTATTTACGTATGCCTTTTGACAACAAGGTACCATTCTAGAGCAGCAATGCATGTTTTAAATACAAGGATGTATTGTCATTTGGGGTTTAAAACTAAAAAGGAAGCCGAGCTTCTAGAAAGCACCGTAATGCCTTTTTATCTGTTAGGATTGAGGAATTCACAACAACGTGAGTAGTTCCTGGTTCACATAATTATCAAACAAGCTGCGGTGTTTTTGAAAAGAGCTGTAAAAACCTGAAGCTTTACTGTATAAAATCAACATATTCAAGACTCTAAAAATTGTCAAACCCCCACAGCTTTACCTCAAACATACAAAAACCTAAGTTTACAATCCAGAATTTCACAGGAAAAATCCTACAGAACTTCAACTCTTGCATTTTGTGATGACCAACATAGGCATTAAGAACTTGCAGCATAAAAAAAGGACTCCACATCTGCTTAGTTTTATACTGTACATACATATACAGCACAGAAACGTTTACCCAACTTGGGATGACTGTTCAGCAAAACCTTCATAAAGAAAAATAAATACAATTAAAAATTCAACCTTTTTTTTTCTTTTTTTTTTTCCCTTTAAAGTGCAACAGCAGAAGTTTCCAAATTAAATCTACAATGAATATGGACAGTTTTGTGAATGTTTCAGTCATTTCTGCTCAAGCATTATTCATAGCTTTTTTTTTTTTTTTTTTTTTTTTTTAGAATAGAGTGAATTTTATAGAACTTGAAACTGGAGTTACTGGTGTGCTCTTCCGATCGGGAAAAAACACTTAAAATAACCCTGAGGGATATACAATTTAAGGATCTCGCACTTTATTTTTAAAAAGTAATATTTATTATTTAGCAATTGCTTTTTCTGGGTAGACCAGTCTTTTAAGTATGTGCATAAATAATATTTAAAAATCAGTAATATTTACAAATCCTAATACAACAAAGTAAAATACATACAGATTAAGTCTGCATACACAAATAATTTAATAATAAATCAAACTTCTCAATGTAAGGCCAAAATATACAGCAGGAAAAAAATGTCTACCACTTATCTAGTGGAACTCACTAAATTGGTCTGTTCGCCTGTATTTAGACTTCCAAGAGAAAAATTAAATAGACTTTTCACTATAAACCAAATTTCACCATACTTCAAAGCACAAACTGAATAGGTGAAGTCAGATCTAGTTTGCTGTATTTCTGAAAGCCTCAACAATGAAATTGCTCAAAATTAGAAAAACTATAGGTGACCAAACCTGGCTCTTGGATAGAAAGGCATAATTCCCAACAACCGCAGGAGATGAAAATGCTTATTTTGTAGCTGAACAAAAAAAGAAATACTTTCAGAAAGACCGATTTATTCTTCTGTACGTGGAAAGCAAATAGGTCAGAGCTCTTACATGCAACTTCAGAAGCATTTAATAATTCTGAATGCATATCCTCAGGAAACTAAATCCSATTGGAAAAACATGGTGGCAAAGTTTTCAAGCCTAATACTTGTGACCCTAGTTAATCATTAGCCCTATTAATCATCAATTTTAACAAACGGAGAGACTGGGCTATTTCAGTTTTAATACAAAAAAAAAAAATCTATGAAATGCTCTCTGAAGAAAAGCCCACCTTAATAAGTGGTTTCCTCCTCACTTGCTAGAGGAGTTTAATTCACTACTACAATTAAAAGACTAGCTTCAGACTCCAAATTAGCTGAGAAAAACTAGCAGCTTGGAGAAAGTACTTAGCAAAAGCATGTAAGAAAAATGTGATCATTTCACTTCTGATGGAACCACCAAGCTAAAACAATCAACAAAAATGAAAAACAAGATTATTTGTTTAAGGATACGTCACAGCTCCTAGGTCCAAGATGCATAGCTTTGCAACATTTTTCAATGCAATTTTTCTTCAGATTTTGGAATAGTACTTACGTATCTAAGAATTATTCTTCATCAGTTATTCCATGCTACAAAGATTGTATGACATCAGCATTGGCTGAAATCAGCCAACTGACTCAAGTTCATGATTAGCAAGTTCATCCCAGCCCACAATTTCCGACCCTTCAGAAGTTACCAGAGTTATCTGATGTCCACCACCAAAAGAAGGCAGGTTATAGACTTTTACACGGCTCTGTTGAATGGCTGCTAAGAGAACAACTCTGTTCTTTCCCTGCTCCACTTCCTTCCCCATCATCACTCAAAAAATACATATGTATATATATATACACACACATATATGTATCAGGAAAATAGCTGACAGCTGGAGGAAGCAGACTGGAGGATAGTATACTGTGCGCATACTATTTCTGAGCAGCGAGCGTTATTATCTACTAACCCCCAAGTTCTAGCAAAACAGCTTCCAAACCATTTAGCACCACTTTTGTAGTCACTATTGGCACAGTATGTTCAACCCTGCAAAAAAAAAAAGCTAGAGTGAGCAGTGGGGGACACTGCCATGGACTGCCTTACAAAAAAGCACGAGGAAATTAGGCCTGACCTGGAAAGGTTCCACTTACAAAAACAATTTTGGAASCAAAGAGTCCTCACAGGAATTTGAAAAGCAAACAAAAGAGTCCATCATTTCAGTTTCTGTCACCAGAATACACAGATGCAGATCAAACGCCCCCCCAGCCAGCTTGGGGCCCTCCCTCCACGTTTCAAATGAGTTCTCTCTGAAGGGCTGCTCTGGGTCCTGGATGCCCTCCTCGCAGTTCAGCAGCACCTGAACCAGTCAGTTTCACTTGGTTAAAAAAGGCAAATCGAAAGCCAATACTTCTGCTATCTTCCCCAAAACCCAGCAAAGTCGTTCTGAAGCACAGCAAGTTGAAGATGGTCTGAAGATGAACAGCTTGAGGGTCCTGAGGGTCTTTCTCATAGAGAAACCTTCCCCTCCACCCTACCCACCCCCTCTAAAACAAAAMAAAAAAAAAAAAACAAAAAACAAAACAAAAAAAAAACACACACACAAGCACCTTTTCTTTAGGCTCTGCTTAAGAAGTCAATGGCTGTCCCCACACTTTTTGCTATTTTTGTAGAGGTCTTAGTTTTTCTCTGACACCACCTAATGGCTACATCGTGCATTGCTGATCCAAGTATTAAGCCGCATTACTGGTGATGCAAGTTAAAAAAATCCAGATAAGCCTAGTTCTACAGCAAGACAAGATTTTTAGCTCATCTATTTTTCTTAGTTTTGCTTCATACAGCTACATATAGTGCTTAAGACACTGGCAGACATCGAATGCATACGTTCTTAGCATGCAAAGTCCCAAGTGTGGGCTTCTGAAAATATCTCCCCCATGCTTTCCTTGAAGCAGTAACTCTGGTTTTACTACGTCAAGGCGTATGGGAAATAAGATATATCTTAAGTTTTTAAAAAAATAAAGCCTGACCCTTCTGTTGGAAAAAGCAAGGTCTGTGGAGCTTTACATAGTTAAGTATAATAAAAGCGCGATGGAGAAGAAATGTTAGGTTCTCCAGAAAGAAGGTGTAGCCTAATGCTACCGGAGTCTGTCTGTAGCATCTCTTCTAGCTAACTCTGAAAAGATAAGAACAGACTTGAGGACAATGTGCTTTCTGCTTGGGGACTTAGCATATTTCTTTTATGGTGTTCCCAACTCCTGCTGTGGGAGACTAAGGAATTAAACTTTAAAAAAAACAAGCTTTTCAACCTGGAACACTCCTTGCTCGTAGGGACAAACTTAGGGGTACACTCAGCAAACATTCAGAACCATTTCGAGGCACAAAGCTTTTCAACAGTGGAAAAGAGAAAAACCCACAAGGAAACAATCAAACAAATAAAAAGGTCATTATGTGCCCCTAGTACTACCATGAAGCACTACATCATAGAGCTTACATTAACATGTGCCCTGGTAAACAGGTTAAGAACAGTGATTAGGATATTCCAGGCAAATAAAGTGAACCTGTTTAACTGCCCTGCAGTTTAAATCTTCAAATACACCTCATTTGGGARTAACAATATTTAAGTTAGAAGCAGGTAGAAGAAAAGATCACCAGTTTTGTTCTGCCTAAGGAAACCTAAAATTTTAAGATGTACAGTCATAAGGTGTCTGGCTTTGAATTCTGTATGCAGAGACACAAAACAGCTGGAAGTATCTGTATCAGAATTTGACATTTAGTATATTGTAATTTCATATAAAGACCGAAAATTACATTCTTCTGAATTCTACTAACACACGCCACCAAGATCCACTGTTATGTTAAAGTGATGATTTGATATGAACCATTCTCTTGAGATGGTACTTTAGCTTCTGTTGTTGTTCTGGGTTTTGGTGGCCATTCTGGATCAACCAGCAGTTCCTGAGCTAGATGCATATACTTGGCTTTTGGTGTCTTCTCTCTACAACCAAACAGCGAAGAAAGGAAACAAACTCCCCAGTGATCCACAGCCTCCTGTAGAAGTACAAAAAAATAAAAAAAATGGATTATCAAAAGCAGGATTTTTTTAATATATGTCATACAGTGAATCTCTAGGACGAAGTCTAATACTTTAGTTTCTATTTTGCCGTGTCACTTTCACATTGGATCTAACACACCAGTGCTTTCGGCAAGGTGATCTCTACACTACAGTGGCAGCAACATTAAAAAAAACTAGGAAACACATTAATTCTGCATTACAGTAATTTAAAAGCCCAAATTTCAYGTAGATTTCAACAGTTTTACTAAGYCAACATTAAGTGTTGTTGCTATTGAAGAGTAACAGCTTGTTCTAGGAAAAGCAGTGAAGTTTCCCAAATCCCAGAGATTCTCAGAGACTAAATGAAACTTTTTGCAACAAATTGTTCAGCTGAAATAATCCAACCAACCATAAGTGTCAATTTAACCATGATAAGAAAATTAACTGCATTCCCTGATAGGAAATAAATCCTACATGCCAGCAGATAGACAGCTACTAGAATAGATACCATGGACTAAACTAAAACCTGCTGTTTCTCTTCTCAGAGACCTAATTTCAGGCAACCTAACTAGCTGGAGAAGAGAAATACCAGCTCCTAGTCTCAAAGTAGTGGATTCCTCTCATTTCTCAGAGAGTACCTGTGTTCTTTTATGGATGACATTCTGATGGAAATGCATACATATTTATTCATGCTCTAAATTTCTATATACAGGAGAACAGAACCCAACGTGGGCCTTAACTATCAGTTTCACTCCTCAGTGATTATGAAGCAATTTCTTCTTRGACATCCACAAAAGGATGAATGTAACTGAAGGGAATATATATTTAATAACATTTAATACTAAAAAAAAATAAAGCATGGTAATTCTTAGAAAGGATTATACAAACACCTAAAAGTAATAAGGCAAGAGACTTGAAGCCCACTTCCCATGGGATTCACACAGATTTCCTTCATCTATTATTCACCTATTAGAGAAAGAGACCAGACTAAGACTCACGGTCACCTGAAGAGAAGCTGCTAAAATTCACAGCCTCTTAAACTACTCAAATTAGACATAATGCATCATCACTTGCCATTTCCTTCCCTCTGCATGCACTATAAAATACTGCCCTCTTAAACAATGATCTAAACCCCTACATTGAGTTCATTTGATCAAGGACTGGATTAGASCCAGAGTCCTGGTCTTACTAAACCAATTTTCTGCTATAAGGCTAATTAAACTTGCTAATATGCAAATTGTAGATAAAGTGGAAAAAGTCTCAAAACACAGTCTGCTGGGTTTGCTTCTCAGGTCGTTTATACAGAGCTCAGTTCTTTTAACACAGAGTATCAACACGGAAAGAAATACAAAACCAAAAGTCATTCTTTTTAGTTACAGAAATCCATTTTTAAACTCTTTTACGCTTAAGACAAAAGACACTTTTAGACCATAAAAAGACACAAAACTGAATTAATTGGCATGCACTCAAATGATGACAGCAAAATACTAGTCTCCAACCTGGGGCGGCTGGGGTATGGTGAGGCGATATTCTCCTTGTTTGTCTCGATTGAACACAACCTTCCAAAGGATCATATCAAGGAGGACATTCTGTGAGACATTGCAGTGAGTGGGAAGAATTAAAGAAACTAATGATCATTTGTTGTTAGTGTGCACATTACAAATAAAAGTTGAAATAGTGTGTTAGGCATAACTAATTTGCCAGGCAAAACAGAGAGCTTACACTATTTGTCAGTACTTAAGTGCTAAACATTTACGCTTCTTAAGTGCTCACATGAGGTTTAAGAATATGAACATGTACTTTAAAATCAACTGCAAAATGACTAAAACTGCATCTATCATTACAGATAAGAATTAATATACATAATGTGCTTCAATACTTATAAAGCTTAAGCACTGCATACATTTGTGCTTAAACAAACATTTTCTGAAACCGTCTTTAACTTAGCTGTGTACTTCATACTGTAAGTATTTATTATTTTAAACCAATGACAGTCACATGAAAGTGTGGGCAGCAAACTGAGCCACCAAATGGAATTCTGAAAGCCTCAGGTGCTGCTCCTGATTTTGGGAAAAATAGAAAAGGAGAGCTGTTGTGCACTATGTTCATTTAGTTGTTCTTATCAGGCTGTGCAGGGGGACTACAGAGCCTTGAGCAAGTTGAGCAAAACAAATGTGAATCTGCACTCCCACAGCCTTAAGACTATATAGGACTCATTTTTTTGAGTATATCCAGTGGCTAACACCAACTAATTCCTCCCACCATTGAAAACGGGGAGCTGATCAACCAGACCTGGTATGCCAAGTATTTGCCAAACGAACCCTGAGTTTCTTAAAAGACCTTTTTGAAGCCGGTCTGTTTCCTTCTAGTTTAAGTCTCCATCTATGTCAGGCATTTGATAAAATGTGAAACAACTGCTAAGAWCTCCCTTTACTGTGTTATATTCTCTACTGTCTAGAAGAAAGAACACACCCAATTTGCCAGCCTAGTCTGGCACTCCCACAGCAGAAGCAAAAGCTTTACTGCACTTTGGAAGCACATTTTGGACAAAAACATTCTGAACTCATTCCTGTTGTGGAAACAATTAAGAAATTAGATGGCACTGGTGACAAAAGTATCTAACCGATAAAGGTGTAACAAGTTGAGAGCGATCCAATTTCTCTGCTTATCACAGCATAAAGAAGCTCCTAGAGGCAATATTTAAGAATTTCTCACAAAGCAAAAACTATGGATTATATACCTAGATACCACTGTTGAAAGAATAAGATGCCACCAGCAGCTTTTCCTGGATGCTAAGAATGTGAATTGCTGTACTTACTAACACTGCAGTGAAAAGTGAGAATAAGAAGCTTGCTTATTCTGAGAAGAGTAAGCAAGCAGGTACACAAGGACATAAGGGTGATGGTTACTGAAAACCTTCACTGGAAGTGAATGCATGAAATAGGCTTGTGATTCTTCCACAGCTGGCATTGCATGAAAAAGCTYCAGGGATCTTAATGTTACTTAATATTACTAGAGTTGGACAAATACTGTTCAAAGGACAGGACAAGGGAAGGTCAAAGCACAAGGTGAAAATGTATGTTGTAAAACAAGGCTTGGGATTTAAGGAACACTGGGAAATGCTCCTATTGGACACTTGCTGTACAGTAGGACAACTTATTGTCTAAATAGAGCACATCACTAAGTGGAAGAATAAGTTTCAAGGTAAAAGTAGTATGACCTGATCAGCACAAATCAAGGAAACCTAATTACTTCTATCCCACTACTATCGTGCAGGCAATAAGGCAAAGAGAGAAGTGTCTAGGAGGAGCGTGATGAGCCATGTCACCAGTTCGGGTAAGGACAAGCGACTGGAGTCCTAAAAGGTACTACCTAAAAGGTAGTTAGGGTTAAGGTAGTTAGGGTTAAAGGTACTTCTGTACAGGAAGAAGGGATGTGGAGCCAAAACACAGGGAGAAGGCAAGGGCTTTGCAGTAAGTGCTACTGAGGTCACACTTCCTGAAAGCTCAGAACTTTAGAGATCTATGTAGCTAGCAGGGCCCAGAAGTAGAATCTTGAATACACCAAAATTAAGAGAATTTTGACCTCAGGACTGATGCACTGACTGACACACTGTGCTTGCAGAAACCTGAACAATTCTAGTACTGAGACACTACTCAAGTGTCTGAAAGCTAGGAAGATCACTACCTGAATAACAAAGTAATTTTTCCAATAGAACTTTCAAAGCTTAGTTCCGAGTTTGTAACATGAAAATTGTAACCACCACCTTCCCATGTTCAATATATCTACCCAAAGGTTAATCCCAAATAGTAATTTCTTAGTGCTTCAAAAAAGCAATCTGGAAATTGTATTAAAAACATCAAAAGTGACTGAAAAGAGAATAAGCAAGCAGGAAAACTTTAATGTAGGAGCTTGGTTTAAATTCTCTTTTTATTAAAGCAAATGATTCTGCAGCCTCAGAGCCATCATTCTGGGACACTGCTAAAAAAGCAATACATATAAAATTTAAATTATAGCAAGTAAAAAGGTAGAAAATAAGAACTTAAATCTTTCACACTTTTGAAGAACTAAAGGTAAAAGCAGAAGCTTCATGACAAGCAGGGTTAAAATAAATACAGAACAAGGCACAGGATCTTTATGAGGAGATAAACTTGTTAACAAGGCAAAAGCCCAGGAGTTTAATTCTTAATCTGTGTTTTTCAAAAAAAAAGAAAAAAAACCCACAAGTTTTCTCACGTGAAAATGCTGAAATACAGGGAGGAATATAATAGAACATCATTTCAAATTAATCTAGAGCGTTGTTTTGAAATCAAAGGCCAGAATGGTATGATGATAACCAGTATACTACTTGTTCACTTGATATGAATCCCTTACATACTAATGGAAATCCTACATAAAAGCTGTAGAAAATGTTGTACAATGAAAAGGATTGTACTGCATAAGCACTAGATAGTGCCTAAAAGCTTTTTCCCCTTGCAAGAAAGAAAAATTGCAGATAACTACTGCAGAAAAAATGCAACACATTTAAGTTGCAAGTAAGTCATTACTTTATCAGGGAAAAGAAATACCCACAGGAATAAGTGGCTGCCTTCAAATCCTCACTTTCTACAAGATGCATTTCTCATCTTTAAATTAACAGGGGAATCTGGATGAAAGGTAGAGTGTGTTTCTGCCCACACTAATCCTGCAATCGCAGCAGAGGTTCTCAACATCCAAACATGGGGACAAGCTAAGAGCTAGAAAGAGTAGATCTGTGCAAATGTTTCTACTTCTGGACTTGAGCAAGCTGTGTGGATCAGATTTGAAGAGCAAATTCTATAGACTGGCAGCATTCTGAACAATAAGCTGTATATGTGATTCGACAGAATATAGGCTCCCCTCAGGTTTAAGATATAGATGTTCTACAACATTTAGATCCTTAGCATGGTATGTTATTCTGAACTATTACAGCACATAAATTTCAACAATTTAGAACAATACTCTCTGCATTTAAACCTTTCAACTTTTCACTCCGTCTTTTGAATAAAAATATGTTTTTAAAAGTTACACTGTTATCACTGAAAGCCTTGACACCTTAGATCTAGCTTAGGAGTACATCTATAGAACAATAATCTTAAAAATAAAACCCCACTCCACTTCCACAGATGTGTTCTCAACAGAAATCTTCTAAACACAACAGAAAGCTGTACCTTGAAAAAACACTAAATAGACTAGTATTTGTGCCATTTGATGATCTTACCTCCACCAACACGGATACAATTGCATTGACAATGACAATGATGAGAATTCTTAGACGCCACTCGTATGGCACACACACCAGCTGTGAGAGAAAGTTACAAGAAGTTAACAGCACGCCCACGAAGTGACACAAACACTCAAAATAGATCAGCAGTTATCAACTCACACACACACACACATTATAAATAGACAAGTCCTTAAGCGTTGAAGCCTACTTGCAATAGAGCTTACTAACACTTACTGCAGATTGCATTAGGTAATATTCTCATTCAAAGCATCTTCCTGAGAAAGTTCAAGGGCTTTAATCGTTGATCCAGTTGTAAATTTGGTGCAATGATTTTGGAAACAAAATGGGGGCTCTAAATTAAACATTTCAATTGTGTCTCTGCCAGTACATAACAATTTGTTCAAGTTCCCCTCTCCTTTCCCCCACAGATGAGAAGACACAGCTCTAAAGGGTGAAGTATGCCCCAAAATCTAACCAGTTATCCAAGGAAGTAGAGAAATCTGTGCAGATCTGTTGAATCTTACCTCAAGAACTGTGTCAATAGATTCAACTGGATGCAACATGATGAAAAATATGAAGACATAAAGAACTAGCACAGATACAACAAACAGAACTGTAAAAAAAGAAAAAAAATCATCAGACCATCTCCCAAAGCATTTAGATTAATTTAGTTTTGCATATATCATATTCCATTGAAATATATTTTTAAGAAATATAGATATTCTTGTCTTCTACAAGACACTATGAGCACAAATTTCCCCACTCACATTATTTCATATTTCCTTATTTCTGTGATTATCAAAGGATAATCACCCCATATTTCCACAGCAGCGCTATTCTTGCTTAAGGAACATAACAGGATTGCAAGCAATCCATGGATATGTTTGTGAATAAGTAATTCAGAGTTTTATTTGAAAATTTACTTACAAATAAAAAGAACTTACAATTTTTGTAGCATGGTTGTCTAAATGGTTTTCCTTTAGAAAAGACTATTGCAACTATGAGGTACTGGAAGCTGGAGATAAAAAACAAAGTTGTGTTTTCATAATTTTTAATGTTATGTTCGTCATGAAGAGTCTCGTTCTCATAGTGGCCAGAACTGGTGTTTGTGGCATCCAACACGTGACACGCGCTACAATTAAAAAAAAAAACAAATTTAAAACCGAGTTACAGAGAAATGTAAATAAGGCTAAAATCTATCGTTAAGAAAGCAATACCCATAAATTGTAATAGTAGTTAAACAACTCTATTTTTCAGGAATTTGATTTATAACAACTACAGCAGAATTGCACAACTTCAAGAGTTAAAATAGGTCTGAACAATTAATTTCAGATTTTTATCTCAATTTTCTCAAAGGAGAAAAATACTCAGATCTTGTAGACCAGTTCAGACTCAGTTTTTCATTTTGATCTTTAAATAACTCCTATGTATCAAAATGCTTTTAACAAAATATTGTCCCATAATTAGTCATTATTGATTTCTTTTTGTCTTTCCTCCTTCTGGAAGTCCAATTTGTGAAAGCTCTCCTGCTTTATTATATCCACATTTATGGGCAATATCGATCGTTCCTTCTGCTTAATCATAATTTCTATTTATATTGCACATTTTCCCCAGACTCTTCTTTCCTCCAATCAAGACTGTACTGTGGTTTCAACACAAACCCCCAGCATTTCACATTCCTACCTGATTTAACAGTATCCCTCCTTTTCCACTGCATTTTTTTCACACATACTACAAAAGGAGCAGCCCATTTATCTCTGGATCCCTGCCCACGCACGCTCTGGCCAGCAGAAAGAAAATCAGTAGGTTCTCTGGAAGAGTCTGGGAGCCAGAGCTCAGATTCATCAGACAAGTCGCTCCCAGAAATGCTGCCAGAAGTTTAACTCCTCTAATGAGTATTAGTTTAGTTCAGCAAGCTAAGAAGCTGCCATACAGAAGCTTCAAGATCCCAAAAGGAGTGCACAGAGAAACAAACAATTATTGACTATTCCCTTTCAGTCATCAGCATATCCATATGGAGCCACTGAATTACTTACTCAGATTCTGCTGTCCACTCTTCATACCAGGACTGTTGCTTGACCCAAAAAAACCCAAGGATTTGGAAAGCAAAGCAGATGATGATCTGAGACAAAACGGAACACAGAAGTGGACCTGAGATAAGACCTGATGGAGGCCTTCGCGCAACAAGCTCCTTCCAAGCAGGGTTCAAACTCACTGCAAAGAGAAAGAAAAATAAGTTACACAGTGAATCACTATGGCCCTCAAGAATTACTCTCTTTATATTCTAAAGAGTTAGCACAGCCCGTTCATGACCCCTCTAGCCTGACACTTTGCAAATTTGCCTGCAGGGTTCAGAACCACCACTTTAAAACCATTTGGAAGACTATACCTCACCAGGTTATCACTGTGCCTCCTATAGGTTGGTTATCTCTGGCAGCACAAGACAAAAGAGGACAGCAAACACAAGACTAAAGGAAAAAGTACTGCGTTTCACTAATTTCCACATGTGGCCGTCTTAAGACTAAGCTAAACTTCACATTTTTCTTTCTGCACAAGCACAGATCCACTCATTTTTTTTTCTCCCAGGGCTCTGAAGAACCAATTTCTTAAATCTTGGAAAATGGAATTCTATGTTAACCTGATCACTACTTTCATATGTAGAATAATTCACTAGATAGGTTGCAAATAAATGTAATCTTTTGTGGACATAAGTTCCACTAAAAACACAAAAATGTAGGAAGTTGAGAAATAACACGTTGGAACAAATAAGGATTTGATTCTAACAGTGGCTTCCTCTTTTCTGGTCAGGAAAATTTTTGCCTCTTCATTTTTTTTTTTTTGACTATGTAGGAACTGCTTCACTGTTCATAGCTGTATGATAGATTCTGCACAATACTTACTAGTGAAGACAACCACCAAAATGATTGCCAAATCAATGAAGAGAAACTGGAAGTCTCCCAGATTGCTCAGGATCTAGACAGAAATCACAACTGAAACATTGATAATTTCTTCACACGAAGGAACATTCTACAATAACAATGCCACCACATGAATTTGCGTTTTACTTAATAAAGAAGGGGGACAGTTTGTGAGAGACTGCCTTAAATGTGCTAGAGTCTCCACTGCTCTATAGTCCAGACACCAAATCTTGAAGTAGAAAGCACAGAACAATTTATTTCAGGTTGCAGCACATAAACCGTTAATTGAAAGTTGCTCTTAATTAAAACTTTTATTTAGGAACCTTTCATAGGTCCATATCTCTCCAAACACCATAGCCCCAGAATTTCCATCTCAAAATTTCCATCTCAAAAATCCTCAAGTAAGTTGTATTTTGGTTACATTTCACATGCAAATTAAAGTATAGAATTTCTACCACAAATCAGTATAGTGAGCCCAAYCATATTAACAAAAAATACTCCACTAGATCCTGTGCCCTCCCACCCCAATCTCAATCCTWGTGGATGCTCTATTTCAATCCTTAGGTAACAGGAATGGTCTGACTTTAAATAACGGAAAATTGTATTTTTATTCTGCTTCAATACTTATTTGGAGTTACATAAAAATCTCTACAAACTGCAAGGATTAATTAAATGGATGCTACCATGATTTTCACTCAGCCAATGTAAAAAAACAGCCCCCAAAAGACTATAATTAGCACTACCTTTAATGCAAAGTATGCTATTTATCTGCACTCAGACTTGCAAAATTTAGTGTAAATATTTAGTGGCTTTTAAATCTTGGAAATATATTGCTATTGATTAAGCACAACATTTAAATACTTACAGAATATAGCAGAGTAACACTGATGTACTGGATAATGCTGTATAATGCCATGAATTTAAATACACAGAAGGAAGTTATTAAAGCAGCACGGCCTTCCCTGTCAAAACAAACACACTCATTTAACCAGAAGTCTTTCTGTGCAAGTAGCTAACATTTTGATAAGCAGAGTATAACTAAGATGAAAAATAACAAACCTTTTGAGACACGTTATGCTGAAGATAAGAGCAGGCAGGCATATATGGAGGAAAAGTACAAGAATGGGACCCTTTCAAGCATCAAAGCTGATAGCATGAACAAGGATTTTAAATGCACTTCTGCTAGAAGTATCTGTCCCACATAGTTTGCTACATAGATTAAATGACCCTGCAGTCAGTTAGTTGATGCCTTCAGAGATGTTTCTGATTATCCATTACTTCCATTAGTTGAATAAAACTGGAACTAGATTCTTCTCTGGCTGACCTTGATGCAAAAATTTATCTATCTCCACATTCTAGAATCAAGGATATGTCGAAATTTATTTGTGAAAATTGGTAGTACTGTGGATTGAAGTTATTCAGGGAGTTTTATTCCTTATAATTACACATGGACTTTACAGAAAATCAAGTAATTCACAAGACACTAAATTGAACATTAACGTTTAAGAGCTGTTACACAGGACAAAAAGTGTAGTTTAAATGGACAAAAGGTAAATAAAACAAAGTGCTGAACTCTGCCTGACAAGTCCTTACTCAGAGTACCTTGAAAAAAAGGAACAGAAGCTACTAGAAACTTAGGGCTTCTGCTTTAATTCAAATGGGCTTCCTGTAATGTCAAACACGCACYGAGACAGAGCATGCAGAACAAGCTGAATGGATATATATACATATTGCTTCACCTGGCTTACTATAAAATACTGTTTTGAACACTGTGAATTCCATTTATATGGAGCAACGTATTTGTTAAGGATACAGCAAGTGGTAATACCTGATAAGCTTTGGCACGCAGGAAATACTAGGTGTCCTGGAAGTGAACGGTGATGCCACAGAAGCCTCAAGTTCAGACAAAGATATTCCACCATGTGCCCTCTTCAGCGCCTAACAGTCAGCATCAAAACAGAGATCATTTAAAAACATTTTCAGCTGTAAAATTTAACCAAACAGCACTGTAAAATAGAGATATACTTACTCCACAATCATTCGCACCATCTCCACACATGCCAACATAGTAACTATAAAAAAAAATAAACAAATGTCAATACTCTGGATCGTTCACTAATCAGCGAGTATAACTTATTTCGCTAAATACTTTTTATTAGTATATTCAGGATACAAACAGAGAAAGGTGATCCCAGATAAAGAAATTAAAGCATTTTTGTTCTAGGAAGGGCAGATGCATTTTGTCGCATTTGATATTTGCTACTGAGTTTTTATAAAGATAATCCTGAAAGCATTAGGATGATTAAACTTTAGAAAAACAAACAAACAGAAAGCACACCAACTCCAAGGAAAAATTCATATGAGTTAACAATCTCAAAGTTCTGTTTGAGGCCCACAATCAACACACATGATATTAGACAAATTTCTGTCACTGTAATACTTCTTCAATAAGCACAGGGCATTTGTTTACTAAGCCAAATAACCAGATTTACAAACATGTTACTCAGTTTAGCTACTTATCACTTTAACTTTCATAAATTAAGAGACTCACAACTGACCAGCAGATGGTACTATTTGCATTTCAGTTTACCAACTCAAGAAAGCTTTTGTTTGGTGCAAGAGCTTATGGAATATAGAGAGAGATTTTTTCCTCACACACTGAACACCCTGTCAATCCCCACCTGCCCTTTACACAATTGAGCCCATACTTACTCTACATTCTGTAAAGCCTCCACCAGCTGAGTTTTCTGGTCAGGCGCCATGCGAGCAAACACAGTGCCATGCAATACAAGCTRGAAGAGAGAAAATTCTTACTTTTCATTGCAGGACAAATTCTGTTTATCACCAAAAGTGCCCACACTGAAGTAAACTGCTCACCTTGGGTACCAGGTCCTGGAAATGCTCCAAAATCACYGCAAATGACTTCCCATTCATTGCAAAATGGTATTTGGTCATCTGGAGATCYTCAAGGCTTTCATGGACCAACTTAACTGGAATATCCTATCATCAAAAGTGTTTTAATTCTCTACATGTAATATATTTAAATAAATATGGTGTAAGTTCAAAATAACTCTCAAAAGAGTATTTCCAGAGATAGCACACGAGTGTAGGCTTGGGAAAAACTTAATAAAAAACATAATACAATAAGCACATCTATGTGATTAGAAGAAAACATGGATTACCATGTTTCAGTTATAGCGTTTCAGAGCTAGAGAAGCCTTAAGACTCAAACAGCTAAATTTTTGCTAAAATTATCTTATGGCACACACCAAAGTTCAAAAAACATCCCTGAGTTATTCTATCAGTATACACTATTTTACTGTGAGAAAGTTAAATTAATTCCTTGATTTTTGATTTGCCAAGGTATTTAATAAAATAATGAAATATAGATATATATGTGCTCGAGTTACCTCTGAGTTTATGGCTGGTGATGAACTAGTGCATTTTGCGAGGGTATCTGCATAATGCCAGTTGATCCTGGCAGCCTGCCCATCTTTTGGAGGTAGTGCTTCAGCAATAATCACCTTATCCTGAGGTAGAATCATCCCACAGTCTCTGGCCACAGAGATAGCAGTTAACATGTTATCCCCTGTTAAACAATTGTGTTTAAAAAAGTTTCAATTAAAAAAGAATAAACAGCATGCATTGATATTCAACAGAAAGACATACTAACAAAGTCAGTTTTAAACTAAGACTGCCTAACTTAAGTGATACCTTCAGCACAAATCTACAGCAGTTTATTTTTAGGCCTGTAAACCCCTCCTACTGTACTAGCATCACTAGAAATCATGTTTGCTTCTTTCAATCCATCACAAAAATTTCTTATGACAAATTCTAGTATCTATTTAAAATCAGGCAGAAAGCATATGGCCATTTAAACTGCACTTTCTTGAAAGATGTGCATCATTCATCATGCCGGACCCACACCAAGTTTTATTACCAGCCAATCAACACATTCTTCCAATTACATCTGTGATTAAAACACACACACACACTGTATGGGAAACACTGAACATACCTGCATATAAATCTAGCCTTTCTCACGGGGGATATATAAAGTCTCTCTCATACACAGCCCACAATGCACCCTCAGGAGGTCACATCTAGTCCAATCTTCTGCTCAAMACAGGGTCAACTGAGATCAGGCCAGGACATTAATCCAGTCTGATCTTGAAAAACCTCAAGGTTTTCCATGCTCCAAATCCAATACAAAATAACTTATGCACTGGGCTGGAAAGAGGTACCTACAGAGCAGAATAAATCTACTACTCACTCCTGCCTACCCAGAGCACCTTTCAGCACAAAGGAAATAGATGGATATCCAAGTGACGTCCAAAGTTTTTCTCAACACTTTCTAAGCTATAAAGCAATACCTAACCTAAAAGCCATTCTATAATCCCATGTAAATGCTATGCCTCTTGCTATGCAGTTAAATCACGATCTACTGACACTAAAATTGTGCTTAATACTTCACTTATTCATCTAACTTAGACTAAAAAAGACATAGATTTTATTTTCAATATAGGTGTATTYACATGCTAACCTGTAACCATGACGGTGCGAATGTTGGCTTTATGTAAATCTTCAAGTACAGCAGGGGTTTCTTGCTTCAGCTTGTTTTGCATTATAATTAACCCCATAAAATCCATGTTGCTTTCAATAGCATCTCTGTTGAAAAAGCAGCAACAGAAACTTCAGAAAAATGGCCATTCTCACAATTACTAGTTGTAGCTTAAAAAGCCCAATTTTTCTGTTAACCAAAGTAGAGGAACATATTTTTAAATATGAAGAATGTGAAGAACTAGCTTTATAAAAGTTACCTCAGAAGATATCATTATTCTCATTAATTTATACTTCCTTCCTTTGTTTAACTTTAAAATAAAAATACAAAATTGTATGAAAAATGCTGTTTCCTCTCAATTACAACTGTCTTGTTTCTTCCAAAAGACCTCTTTCTACAAACAGTTGTGTTCTTACAAAATAAAGGTAACTCTTGAAAAAAATCCTCCAAAACTAACCGCAGAGCCATTTATTTTATTTATAACGCCCATCCAAAATTCCGTTTCCAAATTAGAATGCACAAATAAAGAATGCACAAGACTAGGTACATCAAGACAAAAGAAGATGAACAAAAGTTGTAAGTGACTTWAATGCAAATAAACAAGACAATTAATTCAAACCATAAAGCTTTAAAGTCTGTTACTTAATAAAGTGAAGTCATTTTTACCTATTAATAGTCTGAACTTTGTGCCATGTAAGCTTAGACTCCAATTTTCTGTGAGCAAGAGCAATAACTCGGAAGCCTTGCTTGGTGTATTCTTCCAGGACACTCTCAAAGTCAACAGGAACTTTAAAAAGAAAAATCAAGTTGAGAGTTACTAAAATTGTTCATATTGCAGCTTAGCTACATAAGCAGAGGGAAAGAAAGAGAAAAKATTACTTGTCTTCTTTACCTGTTTCCTGCTTACACAAGCTGGCAATCACCTCAGGGGCACCTTTCATGTAAGCATCCATTCTCTTCTCGCCCAGCACTCTAGCTATTACACACATGCGCTGTAAAACCGAAGAAAATGGAAACTGCCGCACAATTCCAATCTCATAACTGGTCTGCAGGACACGGGAGAAGAGGAAGAAGGTTACACTTGCATAAATGCTTAAAGATGCTTATGGGGATGTTTATGTAAAAAATCATACTTACTGAAAGCTCAAATAACTCCTAGAAAGGAAATAAAAAGAAGACATTAATCAGAAATCTTCATAAATCTTCATTTTGAATGTTATATAAGCAAAATATTGCATATAAACGTAGGCAGTCAGTCTAAAGTCACATTGCACTTAAAAATGAYTTCATAACTGAGTATTAATATACTTAACATCTTATACAAGACATTAAAAGTTGACTTTTAACACTATAAAGACATGAACAATGATAAAAATTGTAGCATTTTGTTACAGTCTATCTGTAAGACTTTTCTTGGTCTAATTTGTTTCAGTTTAGCCCATACAAATGAGTAACTTTGTTTCAGAACAAAGCCAAGATTACTGCATCCCAGCACAAAACAAGTCCTGTAGTTAGTTTCCAAAGCATTTAGCATGTCTCATCTCCTCCACAATAGTTACTGTTACACATATAATCACATTCTGAACAAGAAACAAGGGTCTATCCCATTGTGGAGGAACAGGGCACAGACAGCAAACAACCAACCTGCTGCACCCTCCTACCACCTTCCTTTTTGAAAATCTAGGCAACACAAACTGCAAGGTGAGCAGAAAAACACTTAAGTAGCATGGTAAGAATGTGGTAATGACACGAGCTTTAAAATGCCTAAGCTCAAAAAGCATTCCAAGACCTGACAACCAGTGTCATGGTAGCAATTGGCAGCAATCAATCTGGTTGTCTTAGAAGCGGCATCTACTGTACCACGACCCTCAGCAGAAGTTTGTTTTTTAAGAAAAAGAAATCGATCAATCAAAAAAACACTCCCACAAAGGAGTTCTGTTTCTGTTTGAATTATATCAGCGAGGGTCTTGGCACATGGTTAAAAATAAATTCATTATTTAAATTCAGATTTAATTCAAAGAATTGCTTTGAATTTTTATACCATTTCTTGATCTGTTGCCTGCTTGGATTCTGGAAAAGGCTGTTTTGAAGGGCGAACCACTGTTGGCATTATTCGATTATGAAGCGCTGTTTCTTCCTCGGTTGCTTCCTCTAAAATCTGTATTAAAAAATACATATTAAACATATAAGCAACTAAAGTAATACATTCATTAGCTAAGATTTTCTCATAATGTGACCGTCAGAAAAAAATACTCTAGAAGTCAGTCCAAGAGGTAATGACGTTTCTAAACAGGATTTCAGCAGTTAACATAAGACATGCTTAGCAATTTTAAACTTGTATTACATCCTTTGCCACGCACACTTCAACATCAGAAAGCAGTAAATTCAATGTCCAAATTCTATTTTACAAATTGCTGCATCAAACACATTTTACAAAGTCCTTCATATCAAGGCTTCCTTTTTACAGTGACTCCTCACTTGAATTATCATAAGGGGTGTATCTTGTACATGACAGTGTGAGAAACTTCATATTACTGAACTTACAAATGTTACTTTTCTTAAAACAGTGAGCACTTACCCATCCTATTGCTTCAAACATCTTCAAATCAAGTGGGTCCCCAGAAAGCACCCCTTCAATTTTTGTAAGGGAATGACAAGTTGCCATGCAAGCAACAAACTCAGACTTCAGCAAGCTCTCACTGCAAGCCCTCTCTTCCGGCAAAAGGAAACTAAAACAATGAAGTTACAATATACTTAGCACTATAATTATTTATTATGAGCCAATTCAAACGGTTTGTTTAGATTAACAGAAGAAAATTGACTGCACGAGTCTCTTAACATGTATTTTCACACATCACAGAACGGACTAGGGCCCTGGGCTGGAACCTTCAGAAACAGTCACTGCTGCTTTTGGCTCCTTTGCAAATTCGGGGTTAATTCACTCGTTTAGATTTCCTTGCACAGAGGTCTCTTACCACCTTCTATGTGACAATTAGCTAAGCCATTTCATTTTAGCCACCCAGAGAATCATCATGTTAGACAGCAAAACTAAGTCAACATGCCAAATTTAAAGGACATCATTTCTGTGTTATGAACTTAATGCGATCTAAGACTTTGTGAACTAGATGTAACTGGTTAGACTGCTAGAAGAGTTACCAGCTATTACTTCTAAGCCATCTTTTCATTTGCATTTCTACAGCCAATTATGAATGCAAATGCTCAAGTCTGCACCAACTCTTCTATTCAACAGAAGCTGTTAAAGCATAAACAGGTCTGATATTTGCTATTAATATTCATTTATCCTTACCGAGCACTTTCCACCCTTTGAATTCCCCAGAGATCCAAGCCATCCTCAGTAAGCGTGCCAGTCTGAAAAACAGATCAAAGGTGATCAGTGCTAATTACTTATGTAATTAGGAATAGCAGTTGGAACATATGTACCAGAGAAATAATGCATTTAGTGTGGATACTTAAAATCTTAAATGAAATTCTAAGAGGGAAAGGAAATTTGATTCTAGAATTAGCTGAAAGAGAATGATTTGGGCTAGCGGCATTCATGTTTCTTAGCCAAAACAAGACCAAAGTAAACATATTTGACTCTACATTTGAAATAAATGAAAACAAGAAACAAATCTGACCTTAAACACCAAATTTTCTAGAAGTCTCTGTGCAAAACAAAGCTTTTGTAGTCTCCTAATTCTTTGGGGTGCCACTAATACATTAAGACTTGCGGTCATAAGATAAAAAAGAGTATACTCTAAATTGAATTAATGGATGGCAAACACTGAAGATGTGAAGCTAACAGAACTGATATAACTTATACCAAGGTAATGAATTAGTTGCTACTCTTCAGATTTCTTTACTGCACACTCCACCTTCCAAGTACCAAAGTTTCAAAACGCAACCAACCTTATCAAAGCACACAAGATTTAATTGGCCACAAATATTGATTCTCTGCGGGCTGATGCAGAAGATGCCAATTTTTTTCAATCGTTTCTGTGCATAAACGATGCCAGCAGTCATAGCAGCAGGGAGTGCTGGAGGCACTGTGATAGTGATGATGTCCAGAGACTCGATGATGATGGTATGAGCTGGAACCTGCAAAAAACAATCAAAGTTAATGAGCAAGAACTTGCTACCTGGAAAATTCACTGTCTCTCTGAAGGGCTACATCACAGGTAAAAGGTAAAAATCCCTTTCTCCAGCATGGCAGGTTCTGGAGTGCCCAGAATCTATCCACAATCTTCACTGACAAGCCACAACAACCCAGTCCTAATAAATTCATGGCCCATAAATAATTTTTTAAATCTTCCTCCTGCAAATACATTACCTAAGGAGTGACTAAATAACATATATAKAGAGAGAAAACGATGATATAGTTGTCAAATAGCTTCCCAATTTCTGTTTTTTTTACCTTCATCGTGGTTTACATTTTCCATACCCCATTTCCTCCAACCAGKCATCAGTTGCACAATACTTTTACACAAAATAAAAATCCAGAATTTGGTCAATGGAAATTGTGGCAATAAATTCATACTTCACTAAAACATACACATATTCTGCTTTTCTGTCTGATCTTACTCTCAGTAAGCTTTTTTCTCCAGCATAGACTGTCAATAAAGACAAGGAATCTTCACTTAGAAATCAAACATTTCCACATAATTGATGTGGAAATCATCAGATGTTTCTCAACATCTGAAGAAGTCTACTGAAAAATCACAGCCATCTCTTTTCTAAGATGAAGCAGTTGTGGACAAAAACACCATGAAATGCTAACATACCTCGTTTAAGATGCTGTTCACAACTGTGTAAAGAAAGCCAATGCCTGCTACCACTACCAGAGACAGCAGAAACAAATARGCATCTCTATAAAGTTTAAAATCAGTTGGCTTTGGATACAGTATGGAGCGAACAAGTTGTCCTTTAGCAGTGCTAAAGCCTGTAAATGAAAAAGAATATGTCATTTAAAGTATTAACAGCAGTATTAACTATTAGTATTTAGTAGTAATTTACTAGTAAAAGTGTTTCATTAAGACGGTTTTTCAATATCCAGTACCAGATAATTTGCAATGCTGTAATTAAGGTATTTTCAAAAGGTAAGTACAAGTGACACTTCTGTACTAGGGAAAAAACATATTCCCGATACAAAGCAATCCCTCGTCCACAGATGCAGTAAATACCCAAATGGTTTGGGCTGTAGAATTGCCTGTACAAAACTGGATGGTATGTTAAGGAGTAATAAACTTAAAATCTCTACCTGTTCTTACTACCAGAGCTTTGACCAATTCTCCGGTATAGAAACGGGTTTGGATTACGTTGGTTCCACAGAACAAAGTATGTCGTTTATGCACTTCTGGACTGTATATTTCATCTCCCATCGCTTTTGGATCTTCTGAGGGATTTGGTAGATTAATCTTTGTGACAGGAACACTTTCACCTTAAATAAATAAAAAGATTAAATCGCTAAGACTCTAAGATCAAATAAGAACAATCATTTCTCTTTGCAATTTGGGGACACTTCAGTAGAAAAACACAATCTCAGCTAGCACAGCAGCAGAGCTAAGGAGAGACCTGTTATCCTCAAAACTCACCAGATGCCTTCTCCAAATCCTAATTATTATTCTTCCCTTATTGTCCAATACAGATATTGTGCCTTGTACCCTAATATCACATTTTTAACTGCATAAAGAATATCAAATTTACTTTACCTGTTAACATACTTTCATTTACAATGCAAGTACCACTGAGGAGTACTGCATCACACGGCATAATTGTCCCATTAGATGGAATCAACATGATATCTCCAGGCACAAGGTCGGTGGAAAGGATTTCTTCTATTTCTGGGTGTTAAAACAGAAAAAACTTTACCTGAAAATCGCCACCATCTACAAAATCATATATAGAGTTTCACAGCTAAGATCCAAGCAGTGACAACTAAGATGTTGWTGCATTTTATTAGTAGTATTGTTAACAGTTGCTGTAAAGATACAAGAAAGCTATTGATAAATAGAAACTCAGTTCCACCACAGATTAAATCCACATCCTTCAGAGAATTTCAATTCTCGTAACACATGAAAGGAGTCAAGCTCACACAAAATATATTAATAGTTCTTTCAAGTCCAATATGAAGGCATGGGTAAAACACGCCTTTATGTTGGACAAGATAATTTCTCACACATCAGAGCTTGAACATCTTCAACTACAGTGGTATCCTGCTGATACCACAACAGGATCCACAAAGGAATCACCTTTCAGCCCTGCTGGGCACTAAGTTGTAATAAAAATAAATAAACAAAAAGGAGGGCAAATAAGAAAAACATCAACRGACAAGCAGACTCTTTTCCAGATCAAATGTAATACTGTCTAAAAAGATCTAGTAGAGTATTTCTAAACAGGTTATTCTCCAATCTCAATTCTACTTCAACTTTTCCTTTCCAGTCTCCTAATACAGTTATTTCAAGCTGATGAAGAAAGAAATGATGCTACCAGSTCTTGCACTTACTGAAGTTTAACCCTTCAAACCGCCTGTGTAATTTACCTTGATTTCCTCTGCAGACAGAAACTCTGACAATGCTGTGAGCTGCCACCATGTCATGTAACATAACATATTGCTGCACAGAAGAGAAAACAGTTCATTATTTAAAAGCATAGCTTGTCTAGGCACACATTATAATTCTGCATCATATAACTATGTAAACATATATACACATGTGTGCATACACACAACACATAAGCTTCTTTACTAAGATTCTTTTACAACAAAATTACTTGAAAACATTCTCTTGAAAAATATTTAATAGAGAAAAGAAGTTTTGCAGTCAAAYAGTTTGTGCCAACCTGCTCAGGTTCCTACTCTCACATAACCTTCTGGGAACAAACATACACTGCCACATATATTTATAAAAATGTTTGTTCCTTAATTCACACAAATAAAGAYGAAAACTGAAATATTGGCATGAATTTGTGTGAGTTAAGTTAAAGTTTAAGCAAGGTGGTGTTTCTGTGAGGAGATGGGCAAAGCTACTGACTCAAAAACATGGAAAGATAGCAGAGCAGTCCCAAACAGGACTCTAGATCCAAATTCTTTCAACCTGAAGAGGGAGAACAAGAATTTACATGTAGACTTTTAAAAAATCTCTTAAAGATTTGTAGCCCATTTCTAATCAACATAAAACAGTAAATAATCTGAAAAGATGCATTTTTTCCTTGAACTTACCTTTCTAATGGTGTAGAGTGAGCTAACAATGGATATTACAGACATAATCACAATAGCTACTGCATAGTAGTGATATTCATCAGTGATCCATAATATTACACTGAACAACTGAAAAATGTAAAAAGGGTTGAGAACCTAGAAAAGTGACAGAATATTAGTTAGAATAGAAGGTAACATGCCATCTCAATCAGCATCATCTTCTTCCACAGAGGACAATTTCAGTTCCTTACAGATAAGTTTTCCCAAACTGATCTCTCTCTCTCACTCCCCCGCTCTCCCTCTCTTCCCTTCCTCAATCCTCCTCAAAAGCACAGTTCTTACAGAAGGGCCTACTTCTAAGGCTGCAACATTTTTCCCTACATTTCGGAGAATTATAGGAAGATTTGAAGCAACTTAAGTTATGATTCTTATTTTGGATGTCATTTTTAYTTCTCCTTAATAAATGCACTGACATCTCAAGTTCTTACACTGTAAGATCAGGTTGGAGGGCTTAGCTCAAAACATTGCACCACGTGTTATTACACCATGCAGATAACGAGTCAGTTATTCAAATCCATATGATACAAGGAAAACAGAACAGGTCAGACTGAGTATATGCAAGAATCTATTTGGTGCAGTGAATGTTACCAGGCATGTTCCCTGGGCCAATAATAGAACACAGTCAGCAACTGCATAGGCAACACACACAGATGCTCTCAAATAATTCTGGTATGTTCTCCACTGTCATTACTAAGGCAGCTGTGAACCCTTAGCTTGTAGCTAGGAAATCTCTCGAGTTTGGAGAAGCTAGAACTCTTTTTTGTAAGTCAAAATCATTTTGATTTACAGTGGTAGCTTCTGCAGGAAGGTTTCTTCATTTTACAGTTATTGCAGTCCAACAGACACTGTATTCAGAGTGCATTCTGATGATTTAATGCTCATTAATGATTAAAAATCTTACCTCCTTAATCAGAAGCTTAAAAACGGAAGGCACTTTCACAGCAATTTCGTTTACTCCATAGAATATTTTTCTGCATTAAGCAACATAAAAAAAAGGACACTTAAAACCTAACCATTTTGAACTAATTCCGTAAATATGAGAAAGTGTAAAGTATTATTTGACCTGCGACCCTTTTAATCATCACATTTATTGCGATGATGTGATGAAAAACAAATACATAAACCCCTTAGCATTGCATGCCTTATTTTTTGGTTTAGTTTTCAACAAAGACCCACATATTGACTTTTTTTTTYCCTGAGGACTGTTTAGCAGCTTTACAGTCTATGTAGCAATCACCTTTAATATTCTTCCATTTTTGATAAAACTTAAGATACACAGATTTAACTGTGCATGAAAACAACTTTTCTCTCAAATAGCATAGCATTACCTGTAATCATGCATTGCCTTTGTCAGTCCTGTGCTGTGTTCATTATGAATTGAAGAACAGAACGTAGACTCATCTAGCCCTCTTAAAAGAACAAAAAGAAAAGAGATCAATGGGTTATTTAAGAAACCTGGAATGTAAAATGGAGTATTCAGTAACTTGAGTATTCAGTGACAAGAAAAAGTTTAATTGCATAACATCGTATAGGATATGAATACAATGAATCCATATTTGTTTCAAATTATTTGTTTCATTCRCCTTTAACAAGTATTGGAAGCATTTTAATAGCACTAAAACTCCATTTATCAAATACCTCTATACAAAAGCTATTTGGTAGCAGCTTGCTATTAAAACTTGATTCATAAGCAGATACAATCTACATTTGAAGTACTTTCTTAGCATTGCAAAGCTATAACCTTTGTGCAACTCCTAGATGCTATGAAAATAAACACTATAATTTCGAAGGCTGACAAATAAGAGAACATTTGTTACAGTATTTTGCAGCTATGGGATTATTTTAGCTATGAACTCACTAACTTGGACATAGCCAATGTCCTGGCAATTCTTGACTGAACGAGCATGGACTTACAGTAATTCTCCRTTACTTTCCAAAAGGCTTTTATAGACGACATGACAAAACTAGTACTATTTTACACATTTCTTTTTTAAATTGGATATTTGTTAAGTCACCTGCTGAAAATGATTTAGAAATGGCCCAATGAAGAAAAAACATTTACCGTGCACAGTAAAAGTTATTTGCATTCATTACAACATGGGAAAAGAGCTAGGCAGTCTCCCCATTGCAAAGGCTAGGATCAAATTCCTGTCAAATTCTGCTCAAAGTATATAAAAACRGTATGCGAAAGGTTTAAAACCAGAAATTAGGCTCTGACCATACACTTGTGGGGCTCTGTGTTTTAGGTTTAATACAAGATTTCCCTAAACATATTTTAAGTTTAGGGGCTTTACGATATGCATTTAAATCATAAAGAAAGAACTTYAAGGAAAAGTTGTTGGGAGTTGTAGGAGGAGCTTTTCCTCTCTCTCTGTCCCCATTGATAAGTCAATTTTCATTTCYGCTACCCAAAAGAAGAGCTCCTAAAACTAAATGCTTACAGATATGCACACCTGGGTGATACTCATGCTAATGACATACTTTTAGTAGGATAAGGTTTTTTGTGTGTTATATTTGTGTGTTATATCAGTCCCTAACTGTACTGCTCAGCATAGGCCTTATCTCGCCCTCAACCTTAWTTCACTGTCTGATACAGACTCAGAGCTGCTTGCTACTCTATTCACTTTCCATTGTAGTATTTTTCCAAACTTTTCTTCTAATTTTCATCTGCAAGGGGRAAAAAAAAAAAAGAACTTTCAGTTCACAGAGAGAAGAGTTAGCATTAGCATCTCTCCACATGAGCGTTAGAACTGAATTCCCAAGGCCTTTCGGAAAATCCCTTTGTGCACAATAATTTATTACATRAAGTACTCATGAGCTCATTCAGATTCAGTTGATGCTAGTTAAAATAAAACAGACAAGCAGGGTCAAAGTTGCATCCCTTTCGGCCATATAAGCAAGGCAGATTTAATTTTAGAACAATTACACTTGTATTTCCTGTGTTTGAAACAGTGATCTTAATGTTGAAATATTATAAAAAGAACAATGAGCATGAACCTTAAGTTCTTATAACTGAGTTGCCCGGAAAAACTTAATTTACTTCCCTCTYGTATTATGATAAATCCTCACTTAGGTTTTAAAGCTATTTTGCCATTCAGATACTTGCATAATAATTCACAGCCCAAAGTGAATTGTGAAATTACCTTTGTGATGAAGCACTGTGCTTATGCTACAGAGTTTCTCTTTCCCTGTGCATTTTACTACTTKATTACATGACTCCCTCAAGTTTGTTTTATCAAAAAGTTAAACATTTTCACTTTTATTTGACCCTGTGCAAAAGTGACTTAGTCTTGCTCCAGTAACAGGTATGTCCCAGATATGGCCTTTTCTCCTCTTTCTTTCTCATCTTCTAAATACTGACTTCCCGCTCAGCTACAGTACCTGATTAAACAAGTGCTCAGGCTCAAAGGTTGCTAACACAAACAAGCAAAACTCTGGTATTTTAGCAGGAATGTGATTGACTACACGCTCACATAACTTCACAGACATATCTGAAATTTTTCAAGGGCTGATAACTCAGTCGAGTTGTCACAACAACATCAAAAGGCAGTTAAACACCGAACGTCAAAATTCAAGTCACTGTTTAGGGGGGAAAAAACAAGTTGTTTCTTAGCATTAAACATACTGATTCATATGAATATGCCCTATACCGGTTCTTAGTAAAAAGAGTTGTTTTTCCTTCATATTTTTTCAACTTCTCTGCAACAAATACTTTATTTGAACAAAGTGACAACCATCACTAATTGCACTCCTTTAATTCATGGGAGGTTTAACATCAAAAATGCACAACACTGAATTATTTACAGATGAACTGAGACATTTACACTCTCCCATGGGAAGGGCTTTCTATTTTTTAACTGCTGTATTATGAGCAGATAGTTTTGTCAAGTTACTGATACCTTCCCATACCACTTGCATATCCCTTTTTCAAAATAGAAAAAATATTTGCAAACTACATTCTCTTCTTAATGAACACTGGTCATTGATTCTGTTCCATCCTTAGTGCTTGGACTTCCATTTCCACTTGACTGTTCAATGCAGTGGACATTTAAGTTGAGAGGTTATAAATTTGATCCAAGCTTCCCATTTTAATAAGCATTTTTTCAGTCCTGTAGGAAGGTTTCACCAGTAGCACCAGAAAACAAAACTTCAGTCTTAAGGTCATGGACCTTATTTGCTGAATAAGACAAATAATACGCCTCTTGGCAACTGGTATTATCCACTAAAAGCTATTTTCCATACAGGTGAGAGATATGAGCCTAGGGACACTCGGTAAAGTTAGATTAACCCAAAAATTTTTTAGAAGTTGCATCAAGCTAAATCTTCATGCTTTCACCATGATTCAGAAAAAGATTCAATAAGCAAGAATTAATGATCAGGATGAGATAACATTTTCACAATTTTAGGCATGTTCTATTTCCAAATATGTAGTATGAAGTGTAATTCAAAAGGAAAAAAATATATACCTACCGTACAACATCAAAATTTTGAACTGAATCATTCCAGAAATACTTCACACTATGATGTGTGAAATAACGAATCTGCAAGGAAAGCAGACAGATATTAAACTGGTACTGCTTAAAACTTCTCTTCTGACTTAAGAAATTTTGAGCAATGACAGAAAATGAATTCAGAAGAAATATGTTGACAAGAAAACTACGTAACTTACATTTAAAATGATTTTTGAAGCATTACACAATTTCCTGGAAGACAAGCTACTGAGCAAAATATTTGTGCTCCACTCAAGGAGGCAGTTAGCCTTTCAGTCAATCTAAATCACAAGTACTGCGTTGAGTGTTCATAGTAGACACTATTTGCAGATGCTCTGAAAATAGCAGGTCTACTTACGGGCAAATATTTTTTCGAATCATTTTTATTCTCTTCTACAGAAGCTTCACAGAAGTGAACAGCATGGCCATTTGAAACCTTGTGTGTAATAGGTTTAGGGCTCTGTAAAGGATGGGCTCCCAAGGAAGGCATAACGCGGACCTTTGCACAAAACCATATCTTGAATTCATCCTTTAAAAGGGGAAAAAGATGTTAAAACAATGTTTAAACAGCATTTTATCGCAGTAGCTGTAGCAAGGTACCAGTAACAGATGACAGATGAGCAGGCTCAATACATACTTACAGAAAGTAGGTTCAAAATAGCATTTGTTACCCCAAGAACGCATTTCTTTCCACAATTACAATAGCTTTTCTACATTAGAAGATTTTAAAACAATGAACATTGATACATAACTTGGAAATCCTCAGTCCTTTGCAAAACATGGTATTTGTTCTGTAGTAGGAACTAGGTACTACTGTGCATGCAGCTAGCTGCATTCACCTCAAATAACTGAGCACTGAAGTGAGCACTGAATTGAGGTTATAAAGACCATAATCAGTAATTGCACACAACAAATGTGTAGGAAGAATATCATCTGAGATCAAGCCACACTTGCACTCAAGTTTCACATTAACTCAGCAACTTTAAGATTTTCTTTGCTGACCAAGAACAATCTGGGGAAGAAACCTGATACTTGGTGGTTCTTGTGTTATGTGAAAAATGTATATATTTTGTAGCTCAAGATGATATGGCAGTGTCTTTTCTTAAAATTTGAAAGCATTTTCTTTTCATCATGTCCTCTGCATACAGCTGTCAGCCTTCCCCTAGAGGYAGCAAAGCTATATACAGCACAGAGGAGCATAACTCTGCAGTGCAATAAGGTAAAAATCAATCCTTCTAGCAGGCAAGACCGTGTATTTTAGYGAAAAGCAAGAGGGAATAACTCTGGACTTGCAGAAGTGCCTTTTCCTATATACAGACTTACAGTTGTTCTCAGCAGAACCACTTCACAGTCTTTAAGCATTGTCCTCTTGCACGTTGCCTTCACACGCCACTTGGGCATCCAATAGAGGAGGAGGAGSAGGAAGCCTCCGGAACAGAGCACTCCTGCAGTAACCAGCACCAGCTTCCAACGGCACAGATGATAACCATAGATCTCCTGCAGGGACAGAGAAACATGCAATCCTCCTTGACAGCTCTGGTTCCAAAGTCATCATTAGGTTTTTACAGAGTACACTAGGCAAAGAGAGTAAAATTTCAAAGCCATTTTCTCTCTCTCACCCCTTTTCCTTTTTACAGGGAACAGGAGGCAAAGGCTYTGCAAAAGCTTGCAACAAAAGCATTCCCCTTCTCTGTACTCGGCTTCATAATACCAGGAGGGGGAAAAATACAAATATCAAGGATATTTTTACAAAACTACCATATCTAGGAACACACAAAAAAAGTGTTTTTTTTTTTTTTTTAACTGTAAGAAATTAGACAATAGCATTAATTACCATCTCATCCTCCTCTGCTTTATTCACAAACTTCTTTTCTTCCTTCTCCATGTTTAGTGTGATATGGAACTTCTCAATTTGAGATATGGAAGACCTTTAACAACACACAAATGAAAAATGAAGTAGAATTATTGATTTTATACTCAAGTCTTTCTTACGGTTTTTTGTTTATAAGTGCATGCATACACAAAATACAGTGACAACTTATTAGCCTTGGTGGAACCACAGCAAGGGTCTCAAGTTGTCAAAAATATCCTGCTGTTCAAAAGTTCACCTCCCAGAGCAAACAACATGAATTAAAAACATATTTTCTCCTGATCCAACTTCAATTCTAATTTTAACAAGCTCTAGCAAACAGCCATTGTACCACTGCTGTCTGAACGACAGAATTACAGTGAATTTCAGTGATTTACTTAGTCTCACAAAGAGTCAAGGAGAGCAAGGAACAAACTTAGACTTGCAGAAGTCTATYACTCCAGCCAGAAAGCCAGGCAGTATTTCTTTGCCAGATGCATATTTATAGTCCTTGGTTTACAGCATACTAGTGTCCAGTAGCAGCAAGCCAAAGAGCTGAGGTTATGATGATGGAAGACCAGAAAACTACTGCAGAAAGAGCACGCTTTGAAGAAGGGGAACTGGGACCTGGTACCATTTTAACTTGGTTATGTTCTACACGYAGCCAGCAGAGAGTTGCTAAAAATAGGTTTTAAATATACGTGAAGACCACACATTCCTATTGTTTCACACCATAAGAGTTTCAAAGAGATACTATTAGAAGCTATTTTCTCCACAAGGAAAGGCTTTGTGCACACAGTGAGAGGTACATCTCACCTTAGGAGACGAATGTGTGTACTGTAAGAGGAAAAAATARGATAATTTTAGAAAGATCACACAGTCTTCATGTACAAAGTCTGGTAGTTTTAAATTAAGACACACTGAACAGTCAACTAAAATCTTCTTTCCTTTCTTTTGCATTCTTCTGTTATTCAGCTTGGGTTAGTGGGTTTCTTTCCACAAAGTGACTGAGTCAGGTGTAGTTTCTCATTAAACTGAATAATATTTCCACAGGRTCACACATCACAGTCAAAATACAAAACAGCTGGTGTTTCTTGCCAAAGCAGGGATTCAGTGTCATTTACTGCACTAAGATGAGTGGCTCTTGCTTTTATTTGCTACATGTACATAGTATTTAAGTGCTCCTCAGATATGAAGGATTCACATTCATAGCACAGGTAGTAAAAAGGTTATAGTAATGGCTATTTTTCAGACAAGAAGTAGTCTCAAAAACTAAAGTGAAAGCCATGCACATAACTTCTCAGTTGCCCACTGAAGACTTGAGAGCAACTATTTAAAATACTTAGCATTAGGATTAAATTAGGATTAAAGGGCAACTGTCACCTACGACTTTGCTGTCATTAAGTTAACAACCCTTCCACAAACAGCAAAAGTTACTGTCCAACACTGCTTTTATGCTTAAGTTTTGTTCGCTGAGCTACTACTGTAATATCCAAGCAAACTCCAGTGTCAGAAAAGTAGGAAGCAGGCAAAAATTCAGTGCAAAAGAACTGTTCTTCCTCACTCGGACTAAGAATGAAATCACTCTCATGTTTAGAACAGCAAGAGAGTTAAGTATAAAGTAACAAATGGTATAGAGATGAGCTGAATAGTTTCCAGTTTGAAATACTTCCAAGAGAACTTTTGAATCGTAAGCTCAAGCAACAATTCTAACTTCAAAACAGCATGTCAAAATCAAGTGAAGCTGCATTTGCTACTTGCCTCAGTGCTTATGAAAAGGAAGGTGAAGCAGAGACAGTACCTGCAAYTCAGATTTCAGTCATGCTTTAGAGCCTATTTAAAAATCACAAATTAGATGGTAAGAACAAATGTCATTGCACAGACCTGTGGTTACATGCAGTGCTGTTAGTGACAAAAGAGTTGCATTTTATTCTGCATACTCGAGTAATATCTACTTCTTCATCTATCCTGACTAAACAACCAGGGTGACCAGCACTTTAACCAGAGTATTTACTGTCAATAAACATTTGTATCAACCAACCAAAAGCTGTAAGTAAATTCCTGGCACAGTTATTTAGAAAAATGTTATTGAAAAATGCAAGTAATCAGTAAACCTAGGGAGTTCTGCAAATCATAATCTGTAAGTACCACAAATTTATCTGAAATCAGTTTTCTAATTGTTGGCATAATTAAAACATTCCAGTTAAAAWTTTTCACTCTAAGTATTATTTGTTGGGATGTAAAGATATCATCTCACATTCTCTTAAAAATTTGTCCCAAGTCCATATCCCTTAAAACACCAATTTTTTTGCAGCATATTAGTTGCCACTTTATTCTTTCAGATTTTCAGTTTAACTGGCATTTGCTAATGATAATAGAAATCTTTCAAGGTCTGGAAAAAACTACAGCTACAAAAGAAGAAATGTTCAACAGTAACTGGATAATTTAAATATTAAGTTTCTTGGATGAAAGTGTTTTAACTTTGACAGCTCAGGTCCTGCATGTTTAAAGTAAAAACTACCAAGGCAATCATATGTTCATGCCTTTTTTTTTTTAAATAATACAGGAATAATTACTTTTATTCTTATCTTAACCCTCCCCTATTTTATTGCTTCCAGATATTTGAAAACCCACAAGGTAACTAAAAGTTTCTCTTACCAACAAGCAGCCTCRCAGGCGTCCTCTGCACTTGCTTTTGTTATCATGAGGTAGTGAGGCAGTTCTTAATAACGGACACCCTATCTACAAGGGAAGTCCTGACAAATGAACTATTTTGTCTGAAATCTAAAAAAAAAGTCTCCAAGGGCTTTTCAAACTGTTATCAAAAGATTAACATATCAAAGAAAGTTTGGCACCGCTCGGGATGTTTTTTTTTCTCCAGAGTGTAGGAACAATTGCAAACTGGAGCTGGACTAGCAGAGCTGCAGCTTCCAGGCATCAGGGCGCTGCTGCGGCTCCTGCTCACGCCACAACTGGCTTCCAAGAATCCTACACATAGTTTCAGCTCTGTGCACGAATCCTGGTATTACTGGCAGAGCTAAAAGCACATAAGCCTCTGACCAAACTCCTTTGAATTACAGCAGCATCACACTCGGTATTTTTATAAGACAGCAAAGTTTAAAGGTAGCAGGTAATGCACATGTCTCTCATTGTGAACATTTATAATTTATCATAGAGCATTGTGAAGTGATCAAGCATACCAAAATACAAGACTTTTGGAAAGTCTTTTTGCAGAAGAGAAATTCTACAAAGGAAAATGCAGTCACGGAAATACAAGTTGCTTTTCAGTCCAAGACAAGGATGGACAACTGCCACTGCTTTACTAAGACAACAAAAGGACCAAATGAAAGCTAAAACTATATGCTGAGCCACACGCAGGCAAGGGTCCAAATTTAAAGACCACATAGGTTTAGAAACTTAAACAGGAATCTTCCTGAGCTCCCCACATAATTTATTAAATAAATTGAGAACCCTCAGATCTAGAGGATCAAGAAAAAAAGGGAAAAGACTGATCTCTCTAGAGAAAAGTCATGATAGAGCACAGATATCTTTCTGAAACATAACGTAATATCTTAGTAAGTGGCCAGCTTGACTTTCGTAGGTCCAAAGGAATCCATTATTTCCAGCATTCTTAAAGGTTATTGAAATACATATTCTGTAGAATCGAGACACATCAAAAGCAATAGGGAAAGAAGAACAGTAACAGACAACAGTTATCGTATTATTTATTTTAAAAGGTCAAAGACTATAAATTAATTTCCAGAACTATTAGCAAAAAATATTCGCCATTAAGAGAGAATTCACAGCTTTGGAATTAAATATTAGGCTTCTACGCAGTCTGTTGTCATCACAAATCTCTCACATTTCTAAGCTAAAACAGAGGGTTTGGCAGAGGGTTCTGCACTCCTCCTGCAGGTCCAACTCCGAACGATGCTTTAGAAAAAATCTCTTAAAGCCTTTGGTTGAGGAAAATGGATGACAACAATTCACAAAATATCTCTGAATATTGAAGTGTATTTAAAATTTGAACATTAAAATGTCCTATACATATAAAGCAAAGTACTTTTTACGCATATACTAACAGTTAAAGCCAATGAAAATGCTTATTTTAATTCATGACAGAACTAAATAAAAATTACTCCAGAAAGATTAAAAAAATCTTTCCATACTAACCATATATTTCACAGCAGAAGACAAAACCCACACACCTGTTCTTGACCCAAGACTTCCTTCACTATCCTGCCAGCAAGTCGGCTTAGTCAACACTAAGATTTGGCAGCACAAACCACGCAAGGTTGCGCTCAGTACATGCTTTTCAACACACACGACCTGACAGCACCAGATGAGGGAATACACGGACAAAATGCTAAGGACTCCAAGGTGTGACACACGGGGAACTGCGGCGGGGCYGCTGCTGGTGCCTGAGGCCGCGCGCTAGGCCCCGACTGCGCCCGCCCTGACACCCAGAGCTAAAARCAGGTGATGGGAAGACCCCGGCAGGGCTGGAGACCGCATGCGCTGTGCCCATCGCACGTCTTAACTGAAATTCTGCAGATATTGTGCTTGGAAATGGGACTTTATGGCCATATTGCCAAATTTGACTTCAACATATCCTATATGAGCTTATGTGAGTTAATTTAAAATCACTGGAAAGCTTTCAGAATTTCTGATACGTATACACAATCCTACACCAAATTAAAGCAGCAAAGTGATTTTCTCTGAAAGACTTGAGTGGAGAAATCTACCCAGCAGGAATGGAACTTTTTGCCCCTTGGAGTATGACAGTATCTAGTGGCTACACTGCTAAGTACCAASCTAGTCACAGAATACACAATAAATGCTTGGACAGGACATACAGTCAAAAGAACTAAAGGAGAGCTTAAAAATCTTCCAGCTATACTTTGAAGGCAGTTAAAGTTATAATCTGCACTACAAACAAAGCTTAACACTTCAGTCAACTAACCAAGCTCTAACAATAAGAATGACATAATAGTTTAATGAATACATGGAAATTTTACAAGTACACGAGCTAAATTTTAACAAAGCCCTCCACTCAATACCTATTTTATCACTTCCCATCTTAAGCTTTCTCTTATAATGCAAGCTTTTGTTTCTGTGTTTAGGCCTAAGGAAGACCATTGTATCCAACAATCACCAAACCAAAATTGTATTTACATTTGTAAATTGTATTCTTTGTAAAGTATACTTTTTGCAGGCTGCAATAGCAATTGCAATGTTTATAGTAAAAAACATGCTACATTAAGGAAAGATAATTCTACATCTAACAATAAACTCAGGACTGTAACTTGTCATGATAACCAAGTTGCACGGCCAATACTGTGCTCCTAACTCACTTTCTAACCTGTCTTCACATCTTCACTTTCAAACCATTAAAATTTGTTCCTGATACAATTAAGTCCACATGGAAGGTATATCAGAAGAGAATCTCAGGAAACATTCCAGGCTAGTTAAGCTCTTTATCACCTAACCTTCTTGGAATATCATTTATGTTACTTCAAGTAGCAGATATTTTTATTAATAAAAGTTTCCAATGGCTAAATTGAGCATCCAAAAGTGAAAACGGTCAACACCTTGTCACTCGCAGGCACAGAAACACAGTCCTTCCTTGTCTCCTTTTTAGATTTCTGGACCTTTCTCCTGACTGTCACAAGGTAAAGGAGGTCTCTGTCCCACAGCCTGGGAACCCAATAAAGCATACGTTTATTTTACATGCTTATTGCTTCTTCCCTATTTTGGAAGGCATTTTGGACTAGACATTTGGGTTAGAACTCACAGACTTTGACAAGAGGTACAATGAAAAGTTTTATTTATTCTTGGGAGAGAAAGTTAAAGTGCCTTAAATATCCCTAGAAAGACGTGGCACCATTTAACTCCGCTTCAGCCTTTAATAAACGAGTACTGAAACTGTATCCAAAAAGAGGAGGAAGCTCCTTGTTTTCCATGGAGCATGAACTGTAGTCAGTCCTTCTACTCCAGTTAAATAACCAAGACTATTATGGGGAGATGATGGAGATGGCAGAGGTGCTCCTTCCCAGCACCACCAGCACTCCAAGTACCACGCAGAACTGGGAGCCAGAAGACCCAGATCCAGCAACAATGGGTCCTTTCAAGGAAGCATTTCCCCTCYGGGGCTGTGCCAAGAGCCCAGCCTTTCCTGTGGGGCTGCCGCCTTATTGTGCAACGCGGAGTATCTGCTTCCTGGGATATACTTGCTTTTGTGGTATGGATGCTCAGTGAAGTGAGGCAATGACTTCCCCCAGCCTCTTCCTTCAAAATTCTGCAAAAATATTCTTAAGGTTAACATAAGAACACYAGAATCAAGACTCTGCCGGCCTACAAGTAGCTCACCAAGACAAAGAGGTTAATCACAAGAGCTGAAGTTTCCTCTGAAAGACAGTTCAGGCTYGTTCCTTCAACATACAGGTTGCACATAGGTATGAGTACAGCATTTTCCAGAGAACATTATAAGGGATCAAAATTGCTTTTAAAAGTTTGGCTATGTAAATGTTAAATGTACACACACTGTATCTTCCATATCAKCACCAAATTATGTCTACTTTTAGAAGTTTTGCAAGAAGTCAAGATACAAAAGTGCAATTACTAAATTCCAGAACTTAAGYCTGTTTAATAGTTGATTCAATGTATGTTTTTAAAAGATGAAATCAAAAATTAATACATACCTGAAGTTTGTACCACATTCACTTTAGCTTGATCAGAAATACTTGATGGAAAGAATGTCTTACGCATACAWCAGCTCTCCAATCAATATAAACACTATATTACATATACACAGTGAACTCCATTCACTATATTGTATGAGAGAAACTRTTAAAAGCTTTTCTTTAAATAAATCTTGACAAAGTTCAAAGGTTGTATCAAAGATTTTAACATCATTAAGGTATCTGTCAAGAGGGACAGCTTGTATTTGTCTTGTTTAAAATGTAATAACTGAAATAAGTCTCATTATTTAATGTAAAAAGCCTGTTAAACAGGTTTCACCATGAAATTAGGCTAGTGAGGCTGATAAAACTCTTATGCACAAGAACTTACATGACCTGGCAGCTTAGCTTCTTAAATTGACTGATATACCTCAAAAACATAAAAGATGAGAAAACTGAAAGGAGAAAATCAGACACTATGTCTATGCATGTAAGCTGACCAGCAAGTATAGGACTAATGTTTAATGCCCAATTCCTTCATGTCTAAATTTAAACTACAGTCCGTGTCCACCTAGCYGCTCTATGTGGGTCATTCAGAACAGTCCTACAAATCCTAGAGTGTTCTAAGTGTTTGAGCTATTTAGCAAACTATTATCCCTTACAGAAGGGCTTCTACAATCAGTGACATTAACTCATAGCAGCCCACTAGAACACACTCCATCAACGCCTTTAAATAGTGCAGACTAAGCGATCCTTTGGAGTGTTGTGTATCTCTTGGGAGCAAATTCTATAGCATCAGCAGGGCAAGACATCTGTGAAATAGAAGCAAATTATGACAAACTGACACTTGATCTCCTTGTAACAACTGCAATCTGCTCAGCACTTGAGGCTGGCAGTCAGTAAGGGTTTTCAGATCACCTGCAGAACTACTGCTTTCAGTAAGCAGTAGTTTTCTATTACCACACTGCTTATATTTAAATTTTATCCAGTCTGCTTACTGAAAAGGAGAAAATCTCCTTAKCAATCATGTTTGGAGTAATACTGATGTTTGCTATTTCAATTAATTTTTTTAGATATACATTCATTTTCTGCATAAAAACTTTCTTCATAAGAGGACTATTATGACAGAATATGTCTTCACTGCCATAATTAATGGCTAACATTAAGCTTATTTAAAACAAGACTGAAACRTTGTAATTTAGCATATTGAATGTAGCTAGGCGTACTCTTTCCTCATTGTGGACCTCACTAACTGGAATACTATCCCAGCTACCAAATATTCAGAAATAACTTCTTTTCAGATATCTCTAGTCCTGATGCTCAACTTGCATTTCCCCCATCTGCCTTGCTTTTTCAGAAGCAGTAGGTCAGACTAGAGGTAGGTTTTAAAAATACCATAATAGCTGCCACATTGGCCAAACCTGAAATGTATAGGTAGCTTTTACTCTCTACCTTTTGGGGAAAAAGGTAACTCAAGAGTGAAAAGCACAGCTGAGGACCAACAGAAGGCAAGAACAGCCCTGGAAGAGCAGCTCAAATGCCGATTTATTCCAGCATCTAGAAGAGAGTCGTTGATCTAATCCCRCGGGAAGACTAGCACAATTATAACTTCCCCATAGACGCTCCTTGATTACAGTGACTTGCAATTCAAGGGTTTCCTGAGCCAAATGCTACACCTTCTCATCTCATGCTCCTGAAGGACTTTTTCTTAAATACTTTCTGGACACATTTTAAATGTGCCAGGATCCTGCAGCAAGGAATTCCACAGTTCACAGGGAAGAATTTTTGCTTATTTTGTGCCATCTAGTTTCAGCCAAAGCCTCCTAATTCTTATATTTGAAAGGCAGAAGTTATTCATTATTTACCCCTTCCTTGCCACCTGTAACTTCTTTTTTTCTTTTAAATAAACCRCTCTATTATATGGATGTCTACAAGCCCATTCAGACCTATATTTAATATACTACCACACTTTGAAAATGAGGAAACATGAACCTAACTAAAACAAATCAGGAACCCTGATTTCAGGTGAGCATAGAAATCCTCTGAAAGAGGTGAGCCTAACAATAAAACACAGTCCAGGTATCTAGCAAAGATAAGATGGAAGGATACAGTGAAACACTAAGAAGACTGCCATATAAAATACTGTCGTGTGAGCTTAAACAATTGTTTCAGTATATCTGACTGTCCACAATATTGGAAATGATGGTTCCCAAGGAAAGTAAGATTTACAAGAGCTGATTTAAACTACAATTTAACAAGAAGTTAATAGAAAGAATTTTCAGAGGATACACACCACGTTCACAACCTGATATATATATATAGATATATATATATATATTTATATATCTTTTTCTGGTAGGAGGTACTCAGTCTGGCTGAGGCTGTGTTTTGTTTGCTCTGGTTACCCAGCACCACCACTGTCAGGCTGGGTTTTGTCATTTCTGCTATCGTACCTCCCAGTGTTTAGTAATAATGATGCTACAACAGCATTGCTGCTGACTTGAGCTGGATGGACAATGATGACATTTCAGATAATGTTGCTTCCTCACCATTTGTGCAATGCACGGGCAGCACCATAATCACAGGCACTCTACATTTGTTCCACATTTGAGCTGGGGACTGGAAAAAAAACAATTACTTTGCACTGAAACATGAGAAAAGTACTCATATGATCCATTCTACTAATGCAATTACAAAGACCAGCAGACTCCAGCAAAGAAGCAGCAGCACTTTAAAGCATATGCTGTAGTGATAATCACTCCAGAAACAACTATAATCCAAGACCCAGTGTGGCAAATGGTACTAGCATACCAGTATCAGCCTGGGGCACACAAATTCTTCATAATCCATGCTCAGAATGCAACTCTGCTAACCTCCTCACTATCGACAAAAGCTCTTCTTCCTCTGGAAGTGATGTAGCTGGAAAAGAGATGGCACAAGGAAGAACTCTAAGCAAATATCTGCATACATGCTATACAGCAACAGCCCACAGAGCTGACAATCATAAATTACTTGACATTGCCTGCAAATGCCTGCATTACCTTCCCTGCAAAGGGCATATAAACTGTATAGTAAAGCATTTTTTACATTTGCACTTTTTTTGGCCATTCCTTAAGTAATTGTGCTGTAAAAGAGAGTCATAGGAAATTCAATTTGTATTGCAAATGAAAAATAAAATCCATTGATGAACTAATGAATTTTAGAGAGTTGGAGATCTGAATAGGCATTCAAACCAAAACAGACTAACCATTTCAAAGTGCTTCCTTTTGCTCAGTGTCACATTTATCTCTGCTCCAGCCACAAACTCTTCTTCCATGCACTGATCTCACCCAAGTGACTAGGTAACTCTTGTAGCATGACAACGACAGAAGTTGTGTTTCATCCACACACTGTCGGCATTTAAACTTTGACTGCCCAAATAGGTGCCTAAAAATCACTACTCCTTTTCATATTACATCTTCAACATGGCTAGTATTAAGGTTCTAGACAAATTTAATTGCCATGATGCAGAAAAGCAATGTCAAGATCCTCTCTTGAAACAGTTCTTACCTTTTGTGTTCTTCAGCAAACAGACCAACTGATTGAAGGGTTAATTCAAAGTGCATATGTGCCAAGACTACCTATTTGACAGTCCTTTCATACAGCTGTTTGAATTACCCAGTTGATCTGAAAAGGAAATTTTGCTGGCTCATCAAACCTGGACTACTGCTATGGTGTCAAATGCAGCAGTTTTAGACAATGGCAACCTCAACCAAAAGAGCCCCTTTGACTTCCCTGGTCTTCATCAATCATTTGACAAWGACTGGGATGTTATAATTCCTTCAGTCTCCTAAAAACAGTTATTCTGTTTAGGAAGAAGAGGCAAAAAATACTCGCTCTCTGCTCTCTCTCTCTCTCTCACACACACATCCACCCCTCTAACATTTCAACAGTAATAGCACTTCCAGAAATTCACCTGTATCCAAAAGATACACAATTTAATATGTTATCACAGGGTGAAGGTAAAGTTGAGCAGGTGATGCAATGCAACTGCAATGTACCACATAATCTCTACATTAAAGGCCAAGCCTTACTAACATCATCAAAATTACAGCTCCTGCTATCTACTGCCATGTTAAATGTACCCTCCAGAAGATAAGTTCTTGCTATTGTTGTCACTGATTGCTATGACAGATCTAAAGGACAGAGTTCAAAAGGGCAACTGTACTTTTCTTCATTGATCTGCAGGCACAGTGTAAGAGAAAAACAAATAGGATTAGGGTATTTTTTGTTTGCTCCGGTTACCTTCTTACAAATCGATCACTGAAATAGAACAGTTGGGTCCTCTGTTTTGTCATGCAGTCTACTACAGCCACACAAAACCAACTATAAGAGTACTGGAAATAATTATGTGTGAAATAGCAGTGCTATATTAACCGTTGGACTTGACAGTCCTCTCCCAGGCTCCCTGCACTAGTTCATATACTGAAGTATGTGTCCTTCAAAAGTCATCTTTAAAGCTCAAGGTGGGCCTTTCTAAGCATGAATAAGCAGAATCAGGACTAGTGCTTGAGTCGAAAGAGGCAATCTGAAGGTACTGGGGACTAAGCTAAACGAGGACTTCGCAGTGCTAAATGGGATAGGTGTGTAATTAATATCCTATATTTTCTGCCATTTTGAGGTTTTTAGGATCTTCCCACAGCACCAGAAAACACATGTCATTTACAAGGAGCAAAATCCAAGCGAGATTAACATCCAGAACACAGTATCTTTCCAAACTAACACTCAAAAGAGATAATAACCCATCACACCTGTGCAAGGTCTTAAACTCACACAGTATGACCAAGCAGTGGTCAAAAGAACCCTGTGCTTTTCAGCCTTAACACAGACTATAATTAGTAGCAATTCAGAGCTTAGCCTGTTCCAACCCAAATTAACTTGACTTTCTCAAAACTCCACCTTGTTCTTAATGACCATCAACAAAAAGACTTCTAAAAAGTACTGATTTCTAGTGTGAGAAAGTGTCTGTGTATAAGGTTTAGCTGTGTTTTCCTTGATCAAACTTAACTATATTTCAAACTGTCCATCACTGCCATGGAAAACAGCATTCCCTCTTACAAATCTTTTAAATACTTGAAGTCTTTTACATTCCCCTCAACCTTCTCATCTCTTGCCAAACTCTGATTTTCTTCCATTGCTGTGGAGTTATGTTTCCTCAAACTCTGATCATTCTCATTTTTCTTCTCTGAACTCTTTCCAAGTGGTCCAAGTAGTTCTTGAATTCTGGCACCCAAAACAGATACTTTTCGTGCTTTGTGTACACCAGCAGTAAATACAGCCGGAAGATTTAATCACCGCATCTCACAGACAATATTCCCGTTTAAACATTCCAGTGAGATATTTGCCTTTTTTGCTAACAGCATGACACTGACTCATGTTCAGCTTGTGATCCAGAACACCCCCAGGTCCTTTCCTTTCTAGTACCTAAGCAGTTATTCCTCATCCTGCATTTGAGCAGCTGATAATTCTTGCTGCAGTACAGTACTCCACATTTGTCCCTACTGAATTTCATCCCATTTTGAACTTTCATTGTTCTCCAACATATATTCCCTGAGAATTTAATAAGCACATTTTATCAGCCAACTGACTGATAATTTTCACTAAAAAGAACCACAAGCAGCCCTTAAAAACTTTATTAAACACTGTGGAGCAAGATCTCCACTGTTYCTGCCTCATCCACAGAGTCTGCTTCGTTGCAGTAGAAAGATACTAGGCTTATKTGATGCAATCGGTTTTTCACAAATCAATTGATGTTGTCATTCTTCTCCCAGGTATCTTCCAAGCAGTAGGAATACAGAATGCTCACTTATTTGTCTTTTACCAGCATTTCAGATTAAGAACTGTCAGATTTCCAACTCCTCTTCCTCAGCTCTCTTTCACGTAGTACTGACTATTTCCCATACTAGTCTACTAGTACTTTTAAGTCCAGTGACAACCTCTAAGCACTTTGAGCTGCATTAAAAATGTACAATGAAGCCTCAGGGCCTACTGTGCAGGAATGTCCAAACAAAGTACTTTGCATAGCAAAATATACCTCATCAGAAGTATTAATAAAATTAGTCACCTGCATGACATTATCTTTCAGATAAAACCAGCAAAAAAGGCACTGAACATTTCAAATGTGCTGCCCCTTCTGTAGACACAAACTTTTGCCACTAAATAAAACACACACATAATGGGCTTGTACCTGTATAAATGCCAGAACCTGGTTCTCTTCCAGAGAGCTACTTTAAGATAAGCAGTGTCACATAAACCAGAACCAGGAGTTCTTTTTAACAAAGGAGAAATATATGACCTATGCAAGCACAAGTACTTCAAAATGCAGATAGCTCTGCTAAAATGACAAGCATGATGATACTGCATCATTTACAAAAATAAAAAGCTATAATAATAAAAGATTTATTAAATAATAAACTAAATGCAYACAATGCACAGGATTTTGGCACTAGGTCACATTCATAACCCCTGAGCAATAACTAGCAAATCTCTCGCCCTTTGTTAGTTAAGGCTGCCTTTCAGTTACCAGAGAGTAAAGACTACAGTCTAACTTCAAGCAGGAACAAAGGTGTCAGAGTTGAGGTTATAATACAACCACAATTTACCATAAAATGAACTCTTGTTCTCTGCTAAATAGATTATTTAACAAAGGAAATAGATTTCTTTTTTAATGAATGAAAACTATTCTTATCACACTGGGTAGCAGTGAAAGGGAAACACTTTAGTGTTACTGTTACATTAAGTATTTTTGGAATTGCATAATTAGTCAAAAGAAACAACTGTTAATATTTGACCAAGTTAAAACAAGTATCATCTGAAGAATCCCCCAGAAAAAAAACACACAAAAAATCCCCAAACGAACAAAAAAAGAAAAGGAGGCGCCACTGGTCAAGATGTTTGTCTGATGATGACCTGGCCTTCTCCACATCAAGTCCCCCCAATTCTAGTACAGATTTACTTTATGTGACTCACTTAGCAATAAGGCTGACTTAGCAGTTAAAACTTCAATTAATGTCACTTCATTCCCACAGAAAACACAGAATTTGTCTCCACATCATTGAAAGTTCAGGTCTTATTGATCATCTGTTTTATCCACCACTCAGAAAATAGTGCAGACTTCCAACTCCGTGAGCCAAGTAAGAACAGTTAACCTGAGGACTCTTCCAGTCAATACCTTTTCCTGGTTTAGGATTTATTAGGACAACAGCAAACGCCTCTGGGACAGCATGCTATCAARAGAGGACTGAATCATCAAGTTTCCCAATCAGGCTCAGCTACTAACACAACTTCCCTCCCCACTTCCCGCTCCGGGCGGACACCACACGCTGCCTGRCTGGGCACCTGGGACCTTTATCCCCTCTCCTTTTAGCTCTGTGATGAATTAGCACCTGACCCAGTCACCAAGCCTTTCCCAGAGGAAAAAGGGGTTGAAAAGTAGAAACAGAAACTAATTCAAGGCACAACAATTTAAAAGAAAAAAAAAGAAAAAAGAAACACTAAAAGGGCTGGGTGGCTCAMACATCAGCCTAGAAGGCACTGGCAGACACTAAGCAGAGCACCTGGAGCAGCATCGCTGCTTCTGCAAGGTATTTGGGAAGGTCAGTAGATGCTGCCCAGTGGCTCTATGCTGAACAGTCCTCAAGGCTGCGTGGATATCCCCTTCATGAAGTTTCCTTTCCCTCCTTCTGGCACGCAGAGTCACTTTTGGCCAAAGTCAGAAAGAAGTTAACAAGGTCCAATTGCCCAGTGGAACTTTAGATGAGGAGGACACAGAAAGATGATGGAAGATGCGCCGTGAGAACTACAGCAAGAAATTCTGAAAGAGATGACAGTTGAGGGGGGGGAGGGGG